ATTCGAAATTCACCCAAATGATACAATTAAACAGCTATCACAGACAAAAAAGAGAGAGAATCTTATAGGGGGCCCAAAAGCAAAAAAAAAAAAGATCGAAAAGGGTTAAGAATCTCACCTCCTTCTTCTTCTTTCTGCTTGCCTCTATGACCCCTCAAAGAAGACCAAGATTGCTGGCAAAAGGGACTCAATTAATGAACCCCACCACCTCTCTATGTCTCACCTCCTTTGCAAATAGAATAACAACAAATAGATTTTTGTGATCCAATCAAATCAAGAACATGCATGTGGATAACGTCGGTGAGGGAGGAGAATGACGCCAGTGACAGAGAGGAGGAGGAGCCACCATCGTGATGCCGTGAGGGAGAAGTGATACCGGTGAGAAAGAGAGGAGGAGCCGCTGCTATGAGCACCTACAACAGAGAGAGAGAGGGAGAGAGACACAAAAATGTCTGAGAGAAAATAAGATAAACGAGTGAATAGAAAAACCCTAAGCATATATATATATATACGGGGATGGTTCGGGGATGATTCGAGGCCGGGGCCGGGACCGAGGCCGGGGGAATCTATCATTGTCCTCGGCCCGAAAACCGTCAAGGATCCATTTTTCAATACCAATCCCGACTCCATCGGGGTAATTTTTGGGGAAAACTCGACTTATCGGGGTGGGGCTATCCTAGTCCCTGTCGAGCCGAGTTCAAATTGCCATTCTTACTCTCATCTCTCTCTCTCTCTCTACCACATATTTCTCTTTCTGCTCTCTACATTACTCTCACCAAATCACATTAATCCTTTGATTTCTCCAAATCCATTAGAGCTTTGACCCTAGTTTCTTCATTAAGGCCAAGTTTGGCAAGTTGCCAAAAAGTCAAAAAGTTACTTAAAAAGTTAAAAAGTTATCACTGTTCACCAAAAGTCAAAAATTACGGCTGCACAACTCTCAATCCTAATTTTTTCCTACACACTAATTTATACAGTTTTTTAATACATATTTTTTCATAAAAAGTAAAAAAGTTAACTTAAATATTTATATTTTTTTCCTCAATTTTTTAGTCCAAAAAGACAAAAAGGTTGCACTTATTTAGGACACCCCAAACAACTCCTAAAGTTGGATAACTCCACGAGGGCTACGTTTTGTGTGGTGGAGATCGGATTTCAACACCGTCAAATTTGGGGGTTTTCTTCTCTCTTCTTTTCCAAAGCTTGAGGTAGGGATTCTCTTAGAGTTATATATACATTTCTGCAAGTTTATGTTGATTTTGAAACTTCGTCTTGTAGCAATTAACCTTGATTTTTGGCTCATGAGTTCTTGATGATTTAAAAAAAATGGGGTTTCTCAATGTTTTCTAAAAAAACTCTTGAGGGTATGAACTATATTGTCAAGAAGGAATGTTATCTTGGAAAAGTCCTTTAAAAATGAGGGGAAAAAAAATCTATTTTTGTGGAAAACCCTAGAGATTGGGGATTTTTGGAAAAATAGTAAGATGTGATGAAATCTATGCTTGTCAAGTATTATGATGAATATATGATTGAGAAATTCCTATAATTGTGTATAAAGAGGAAATTCCATGGAAGAATGAGAAATGGTTAATATTAACGCTAGTTGTATAGCTTATTTTTGGTTGGTCTTGAAATGACCAAGTGCGAAAATATAGACTAACATGTGGAGAAAGCATGTAATGTGGTATTATTATTTATCTCTCGGTAGATTTTTTTGTGAAATTATCTTGAGAAGAAGTATGGAGATTTTTATCACAATGGTAGATTGTGTGGTGGAAATTGAAAATGGAAACATATTATAATGCATTGATACATGTTGCATTGACATTCTATCTCATTTGGTTGTTATGAATTTTTAATTGAAATTTGAAAACTATTGCATTGAGAAAGAAATTGTTTTGTGGAACAAGAATATATTGAATTGTTTTGGGGGTAAATACGTTGGCAAGTCTAGATGGGGGGTGTAGTTTGGTATCGGTTAAGTTAGCCTGAGTGTTCATGGTGAAAGATTGAAAACACGCGTGGAGGAAGTGCCACGTGCCTTCCAGTGAGAGACTGGTAAAGTGGAGATTGGTAGTGTTTGTTATGCCTACTTGTAGACACCAATCTAAGGATTACGTGAGTCATATTTATCACCCCTTTGAAATTTTCATTGAAATTGTTGGATTATTGTGTTATCAAATTGGTATTATGCACAAGATTTTTCGAAAAGGCAAAAGTATGTATTTTGTGCATGACATGACATTTGCATTCATTTCATGGGATTATGTAAAAATGTATATACTTTGTTAAGAATTTTCTATTGGGCTTTGTGCTCATTTTAGTGAATTTTGTGCAGAAAAAGATGCAGTGATTCCGCCAAATTGAAGGCGTGAAGTGTTTTGAGGGCATATGACTCTTGTTTTGTTGTTGCTTGGACAAGCCAAGGGCTTTAAATGCATGTGTTTCGATAACTATTTTTGTGTAACTGATCATAAGCTTTGGAACTTGTAGCCTTAAGTGCATTTATTTTTAATTGACTTGAAATGCCACATGGTATAAATTTATATTCCTCTAATGTTGAATGTATAGTTGCATGTGGAACACTTTTGATAAATCTTCGGAATAAATTGAGCACACGTCTTAGAGATTTAATGAGGATGAAATGAATGAAATATCATGTTTTTTTTGTTATATATATAAGTATGTTATGGGAGTTACTACTTTTCGATTAAGACCTTGATGATAGATAATTATGAATCATTTTTGGCCCCGTTTGTTTTCCGCTACCACAGTCCACTTCGGACTATGATAGATAAACAGTAACGATGGCTCCCGCTTGTTTTGGTTTTGGAGCTCCAGATTCGTAGTCCGAAGGGACTATGATAGGTCTTGTCGAGGGGTATTAGCAATCTGGAGTGGGAGATGGTATTAGCAAAGTAGTCCGTTCGAATTGGGTGTTACTGGACGTTCGCCCGAAAGTTCGGCCGGTCAATTGGTCAACTGATTTTTTTTTTTAACTTGTTGGGCATTTTTTTTTTAAACATTAATATTTAATGTTTTTGTATTTTTTGTTAAGTAAATATCATAGTTTTATTTTTTTTAATTATTTTATATAAAAATAATTTAACAATCCTCACACTAACAACTGTCATCAAAACAAACACAATTTTACTAATCCCCTCACTATTAATCTCTTTATTAATAATCCCTTCACTATCAATTCCCTCCATTCTACCTCTGGAAACAAACGAGACCTTTATGTAAATTATTTGGGGGCGTTACACTGTCTCAAATTAAGATGACAATTTCAAAGAAGCCAAACCCTTCTTATTTACACTATAACACAATTATCAAACAAAATTGTAATTTATAATAATACAATTCTTACTTACCCTTAAGTAATTTATAAGATAAATGTTAAATTTAAATGTATGTAATAAATTTCATGTGTATATGACCCATTATATTTAAAATAATAAAACTCATTATACTATGGCTTCGTTTTGCATTGGTTTTTTGGGTTAAATTAGTAACAAAAAAATAAAATAAGCTAAAAAATTAATAAAATAAAGTGTCACATTCAAACCATAATCATTTCATTTTTTTTTTTTACAAAAATAAAATAAAAAAGAACTAAAAAAGCCAACTCAAAGGGCTTTTTAGCCAAAGCTAAAATAGCCAAAAACCAACTGAAAAAACCACATGCCAAATGGCAGCTATATATGTGGAAAGTCATATAAAATAAACTAAAATTTGGAATTCCTAACACTGTTCTTTTACAAATGAAAATAAATATAATAAAAATTAGGACAAATTACACTAATAATACATATAATTTGTCTCAGAAGTTGATATAGACCCCCACAAATTTATAGTTTTTGGTAAATTTGTTAGTAACTCTAGTGTTGCTCATTTGCTCCTTGGGTCAATTTGATCATTGCACTTAAATTAACACGATTTTGACTTCTAGTTTTGGATCGTGTTAATTTAGTCCAATTAATAATGAAGGGTAAGATTTTTGAAGAAAAGTAGTTATTAAATTGATTAACTTACTCAGTTGAGTAAGTTTACAATTTTGCTCTTAAACTATAACATGTTCCACTCACAGACATTTTTCATTAAAAAAAATTAACAAATATAATTAATTGAATTAAATTGAGATAAAATTATAAATTTAACGTCAAAATCAAGCCAATTAAAATTATGAGAACCAAAATAATATAAAGAGTCAAAATGTAGCAACTATCGATAATATTTGACTTTAAAATAGGATAAATTGCAAATATAACCTCTGTGATTTGCTTAAAATATGAATTACCCCTTGTAGTTTTGAAAATTATAAATATTGTCATTGTTATAATTTTTTATTTAACAGAACTAACAAAAAAAAAAAAAAATTCTTAACTACTTTTCCATACCGTAGTAAAATTGTTAGAATTCTTAATTGAAATATATTTTTGAAATAATTAAAACTGTTAATTGATTTAATAATTTATTAATAAAATGGGTAATTTGTTATTAGAAATTTGAAGGAGCGACACATAATTTTCAAAACTACAGGGAACAATTTATATTTTAAGTAAATTTCTAGAGATGTATTTGAAATTTATCTTAAAAAAAAAATCTATACTAATAAAGAATTCAAAAAATTATAGTTCAGTTATAATTAAAAAAAATAATTATAGATAAATGGTAAATTTTATAAATATTAATATATATAATTAAGGTAAATTATAAATACACCTTGATAATTTATATTTTAAGTAAATCTTAGAAATTGTATTTTTAATTTATTTTAATAAATTAAAATAATAATTTTTATTTCATTTAATTATGAATTTGTAATAAACTTATGAAATTATCACATTGTTTCCCTAAAGAAGGTTGCTTTAAAATTAAGGTTGACTTGGTAAGAGGGAGCGCAACAGCCAACATAAAATATAAATTAACGGTTAACAAATAACGCCGGTTCAGACACGTCAGCACGTTGGCATTTAAATATTCTCGGCGCCGACTTCCCTCACTCTCTCTCCCTCATTTCATTTTCTCCGGAGGCACAACTTTTCAGAGAGAGAGAGAGAGAGAGAGAGAATTTTATCAGTAACGAAGCTCTGAAGAAGAAGATCAAAAGAGGGTTTCTCAAACAAGCAACACAGACTTTTAGAAAGAGAAGAGGAAAGAAGATCGTAGAATCTGCAGTCAACGAAAAGTCTTTCATCTCCTTCTTTCTCTCGAGGTTCGTCGATCGTGTTCCTAAGTCAAATTACTTCAATTTCCTTTTCTAGTTATATATATACACATATGTGTGTGTGTGTGTTTATATATAATACAGATATATCTAGTCTTTGTTGGTTTAGATCTAGCAAGTCATGTATGCTCCTTTGGCCCTTTCTTAGAAAAAGGTATGTCTTTTTTAATTAACTAACTAACTAGCTGTGATGGGTTTTGTTAAATGTAATGAATTTGAGACAATTCAACTTTAGTATATATTTTTTTTAGGTTGATTTTGTTAAAGTAGTTAGTAGGTAGAGCTCAATTTCTATTCTTAGAATTTGTATGTTTGAATTTGGTTTCTAAAATATATATATTGAGAGGGTAATTTTTGGGAAAATTGGGCCGAACTTCGAGTTTGGTTTTGAGGCCCAAATCCTCCCCGTACATATATATATATATATATATATATATAAAAGGCCTTTCCCATTATGTGTTGTATAATTTACTTCATGGGTGTGAATCACCAAGATCCTTTGGTTGTTTTTGAAGACCCTCCTAGCCAAATTGTAAGTCTGCTTGTTGCAGATATGATCAACATCTCTTGTGAGAGGACCTAGTGTCCTCATGAACTCTTGTTTCTGTTTTTTCAGCTTAATCAAAAACAAAAGAAAAAAAAAAAAAGTATAATTTACTTCATTTTTTAGCTACAAATGGCTTCATTTTTTTGCGACCTTTTAGGTTCCGTTTGGGTAGATGGATTTCAAATGAAAGAGTTTGGGGTTAAATATTATAAAAAAATATAATAGAGGTTGGCAATTATAGATAAATTGGGAAACTAAAGGGTTAAGAAGAGATGTAATTATTTTTGCACAATTATAATACTTAGTATGAAGGATTTCAAAAAATTATTTTTGTATTGTTATTCCAAATCTATCATAGTGCGTGATCATGGTACCAGTCTTGAATTCAATCTTGAAATTTATATCTAAACTATCATGTCCAAATTTGACCTATTATCCTTAAATGATTATTGTCCAAATCTTTTTAATTCCAAATTCATAAATCCAAACACAGTCTTAATTCCTGCCCACTGCCTCCCTATAATATTATTCCTGCCTTTTTGTAAATTATTGGGCTTTGTGTGTAGGTGCGTGTATTATCCACATTGCAATGCTTTTAACCAATAAGACTTGTTTTTTCTTGGTGTTAGCCAGTAAGACTTAATTTCTATGAAGCATGGACACAGCAAAATCAATGCCGTTGCGGTGTCGGATACGGGGACATGCCGGGGACACATACGGGACACACCATCTGCCGTGTTCCTTTAATTTAATTGTTTTTTTTTAGGGGACACGCCCGGAACACGCGTGTCCAGATCTGGACACGGCATGAGACACGGTGAGGAGAGAGAGACAAAGGAGAGAGAGTGAAGAGACAAACCTGTCGCGCAATCGAAGGCATCCAGTTGATTGATCGAACATCCAGTCGCCGCAACGACATCCAATCGTCGACGATCTATATCCCTTTGACTTCACGACTTCCACCATAAGCATCTTTCTCTCTCTCTCTCTCTCTCACCTTCTCTCTCGCTCGCGTCGTCTTCTCTCTCTCTCGCTCGTGTCTCTCGTCATGCTCGCGTCTCTCATCTTCTCTCTCTCTTGCTTGCGTCTTTGTCTCTCTCACCGGCTCTGTCCCTCTCGCCTTCTTTCTTATCTTATATATTTAAGATAATATTAGTAAGATAATATTATTTTATAAGTATATATAACATATTATATACTATTTATACATATTAATAAAAAAACACATGTATATAAAATAAAATAAAAAATTATCAGAAACACATTATTTAAAAAAATATAATAATAAATAAAATAATTAACGTATATTAAAATAAAAATATTTGTAAAAAAAAATTGCCGTGTCAAATTTTGCCGTGTCCCCTGTTGTGTCCGTGTCCCCATTTTTTGAAAATTGCCGTGTCCGTGTCTGTGTCCGTGTTCATGCTTCATAGCTTAATTTGCTTCTCTTATTGTAGCAATTCACTACTTGGCCCCTCCTTTTAATACAGTCTTTGTTTTTTATGATGATGAATGAATTGATGATATTACTTTGGATACCGATTTTGTGTAAGTTTTTTATAATCTGCTCAATATATGTAGTTTTGCTAACCTAATTGAATTTTGGAATCATTTTTTCTTTTCGATTCAGTCACAATATTTATGGTTTCCAATAATTAATGTGTGATCAATTGATTCCATTGGTTAGATCTAGGAACAAAGCAAATATTTGGGTTATAGTATCATTGATTAACCAAAGGATTCATGTCTACTTTATGCCAGATGCTGAATGAAACCATTAGTTCAACTTCAATCCCTCATTCCCCTGTTAGGATGGGGTTGGGTGGGGCGAGAGAAGGAATGATTCCTAATAACTCCACTAGTTGAATGGCAAGTGTATTTTGGTGTTGCAATAAAAGACGTGAAAGATATGCACAAAATCCAGTTTTTTTAATTATAAGAGAATGGGACACGAAAAAGATGCACAAGTTCACAAGATTTGATTTTATTAATTACAAGAAAATGAGTACAATCCTGTGGTTGTAAACCAATTGCAACGGTAAACTTTAAATTCAATGTCCTTTGCAATCCAACGACTCTAGAAGCTTGATGGTTTTTTTCAAATTGTCAAGCTTATTAGGCAAAAGAGGGTTTGATAAAGGACTAGAATAGCTTAATCTCAAACAAACTTCAAACTTATCTCTCCAAAATGAAGATATTAGACTTGAAAACTTCTCGAGTCTTGATCTATAGTGTGTTTGATGTGAGAATGTGTAGAAGAATCGGCACATTGTTGAAGTGCTTTATGACCTTCCACGAGAGTTTCAAATAATGCTTGAAAGCTCTTGCAAGGTGTTAGCCAAAGGTTTTTCCTCCATGACTGAGAGCCTCTATTTATAAACTCAAGTAGAGGGGTGTTAATTTGAAAATCCTCTTGAATTTTTAATGTAATTACCATAATAATTATCTGTCATTATTGTGAAATAAATTTGAATTTTCAATTTTCTGATCTATTTTGAGATTTTGACACATGATTTGTGGGACTTGCATCCTTTGGTTGGTCCAATTAGTTGACCCTTATTGTCAAAGTGGACCAAACCTTTTCTTTTGGTATAACCCAATATCTTGAAATGGGTTAATCACTATGATTGTGGTGCGGCCTTCATTTGTTGTAGATTTTGACTATTTTGACTTTGATCAATCAAGAAAATTTCATTTGTCTTTGACTAATCAGACAGTACTTAGACCATCTCAAAATTTTAGTTTCTATAGTTCATACCACAAGTTGTTAGCTTGAATTTGATCTCTCACCACCCTCAAAGGACAAGTTCCAAAGTTCAAATCCCTGTTGGAATGTAGTTGGGTGTGTTTGACTTGCTAAAAATAAAAAATCAAAGAGCAGAATACAAGCTAAGGGGGTGTAAAAGTACTAAGCATGAATATGCTTCAAAAAAATAAAGGTGTGCCAAGCTTGAATAAGAATACAAGGATTCTCAAAGTTTCATTGCAGAGCTGGACTTACTATTACATAATTTACATGTTTCTCTATTTTGTTGCCAACATCAACTCTATTTATTGTATTTTAGTGCAGAACTCCCATTTTGCCTATCATAAATAGGATTTTTAGTCTTTACTATTCCATGTAGTTCTTTTCTTTCCCCACTCTCCCCACCTCATAGTTCTTTTCATTAAATCTTGATGCGTACATACTTCTAGTGCAATTGTAATTCATAACCTCATTCTTTCCAAAGTAGTACTTGTATTACTAAAGCCGTAAGTTCTAATTGTGTACCAACTAAGTGTTTTTCAGGGACTGGACATTTTACCATATTGGCATTTTGTAATAATGCCTCATGAAGTGAACCACATCTGTGTGGATTAAGCTTTTATTAGCAGTACGGTACTTATATCCAGCATTTATTTTTACTCATCACATTTCTGAATTATGCTTTAGAATCATCTCATTTTGGTTTTATATACATATGGCCTACATATTACTAGAGCAGAGAGTTTAAATAATTATGTTAGTGCTTTCTAGCAACTGAACATTTCTAGGGTCGCCATTATGATGGCTTGTTGAAGTCACCCACATCCTTGTAGATTTAGCTCTGTTTTCAGTAATATTTAATCTATACTGTATTTTTTGCTTATTGCTTTCTCATTATCATCCAATAAAACCCATCCTTGTTATGTTTCCGTTTTTCCTTGCTATCTCATTATCATTCTTAATGATTGCAGTTAGTGGTAGCCTTCTAATCTTCAACATGGGTCCTGTTCATGGTTGCAACCAGATATGTGTTGGTTTAAGCCCCATCATAGTTTGATTGAATCCAGATAATTGTGGGAAAATGGCTGATCAGTTGAGAAGTAATGTTCGGATAGTTAGATGTCCTGGGTGCCGTGGGCTGCTCACAGAGTTGGCAAATGTCCCGGTGTACCAGTGTGGAGGATGTAACACAATTCTTCGAGGTAATAATTTTCTTTAACTGTTAGTTACCATTTTGGCAACCGTTAGTGAAAGGATGGTCTAGCAGTGACATGCCACCTGCGGGGAGTAGGGACAGTTCATTTACTCTTTTTTTCCTTTCCCTTGTTTTTCTTGGATTTTATTATTATTATTATTATTATTATTATTTTGAGTGTGGAACGCCCCCTTCCCAAAAAGTAAAAGAAAAATAAGACTTTATATGGATCATCATTGCGATTTAAGTTAGCAATACATCTTTAAGGAAACAGCCTCTCCAGAAATGGGAGTAAAGTTGCGTACATCACCTTCCCAGACTCTTCTTTAGCAAGAGTCTTGTCTTGTGCACTGGGTTGCCCATTTTATATAGTTGTGATGCTTTGAAATGTGTCTCAAATATTTTCTCTTCAAATTTGAATTGAATTCTGACATTCCTGTATTTTCATTTTCATACAGCTAAAAAGCGCAAAAACGAGACCAAGGGCACAGGATCACACATACCTGAAACAGATAAAGCACAGAAAAATGAGTTGGAACATGTTTCTGATGTCAAAGAAGCTCAAGGCTCAAGTCCAGAGAAAACATTTCCTTCCACAGGTGAACAGTCATTGGGCAAAAACTGTGGGAGTGTTCAGAATGAAATTCAGGATAACGATAGGGAGGAGCAGTCTGGAGGTATGAAGTTCACTAGCAAACTTTCTACACCGCTGACATGCCATGGAAATGAAGAGTCATCACCAGCAGCCAGAGAAGAAACAGAATTTGATAAAGATCAATGTTCTTTTGAACAAAGCAATGGAGGGGATCAAAATGCATACAGATATTTTAGTGGGAAGCAGTCTGGAGGTGTAAGCTTTTCCGGAGAAGTGACTTCATCAACTGAGCTTAATCATGATGAGACTGAGGCATCATGGCCGGTAGCTGGAGCTCATAGTGAAGTGGTTTCGGAACAGAACAATGGAAGGAATCAAAATGAACATGGGTATTGCAATAAGAAGCAGCCTGGAGGTATAAGCTTTTCTGAAGAAGTGGCTTCATCAACTGAGCTTAATCATGATGAGAGTGAGGCATCATCGCCGGTAGCTGGAGCTCATAGTGAAGTGGTCTCGGAACAGAACAATGGAAGGAATCAAAATGAACATGGGTATTGCAATGAGAAGCAGCCTGGAGGTGTAAGCTTTTCCGAAGAAGTGACTTCATCAACTGAGCTTAATCATGATGAGAGTGAGGCAGCATCGCCGGTAGCTGGAGCTCATAGAGAAGTCTTAGAACAGAACAATGGAAGGAATCAAAATGAACATAGGTATTGCAATGAGAAGCAGCCTGGAGGTGTAAGCTTTTCCGAAGAAGTTACTTCATCAATTGAGCTTAATCATCATGATGAGAGTGAGGAGTCATTGCCGGTAGCTGGAGCTCATAGTGAAGTGGACTTGGAACAGAATGATGTAAGGAATAAAAATGAACATGGATATTGCAATGGGAAGCAGCCTGGACGTGTAAGCTTTTCCGAAGAAGATACTTCAACTGAGCTTAATCATGATGAGAGTGAGGAGTCATTGCCGGTAGCTGGAGCTCATAGGGAAGTGGACTCGGAACAGAACAACGGAAGGAATCAAAATGAATATGGATATTGCAATGGGAAGCAGCATGGAGGTGTAAACTTTTCTGAAGAAGTTACTTCATCAACTGAGCTTAATCATCAGGTAGCTGGAGCTCATAGTGAAGTGGACTTGGAACAGAACAATGGAAGGAATCAAAATGAATATGGATATTGTAATGGGAAACAGCCTGGAGGTGTAAGCTTTTCTGAAGAAGTTACTTCATCAATTGTGCTTAATCATCACAAGAGTGAGGTGTCATCACCAGTAGCTGGAGCTCATAGTGAAGTGGACTTCGAACAGAACAATAGAAGGAATCATCAAAATGAACATAGATGTTGCAATGGGAAGCAGCCTGGAGTTGTAAACTTCTATGATGAAGTTGCTTCACCCACTGCCCTTTATCATAAGGAGAGTGAGGAGTCGTCGTCACCACTAGCTGAAGTTCATAGTGAAGTGAATGAAAATAGGAATTGTTTGGCACAAAACAATGGAAGGGTTCATAATGAATTTGGCGATTATGAGAGGGAGTGGTCTGGAAATATAAAATTTTCCAATGCAGTTCCTTCTTCTACTGAGCTTAGTTGTCAGGAAATTGAAGAGTCATCTCCTGAGTTTGGAACAAATACTGAATTGGATGAGAATTTCAAGAGCCGTTTTATATTTGGAAGCTTGAGTGTGGAAAACCTGCTGGCTGTGAGCCCGGGGGATTCAGTCATCACTGCTCAGGGGCCATTGGGTGAAAGCATTTTGACAGATAATCATATGCCTGAACAGCTGGAGGAGTCTCAGAAAAGAGCAGTCAATTGTTTTGACCGTATGAACTCTGTAGATACATTGGAAGACATTGCATTACCCAAACCCATCTCTGAGTTCAGTGTTACGCTCAGAGAAATGCCTAAATCTCCTACCACCAGGAGCTATTATGCTTACGATGGCAGTGTCTCTTCCTATGATGGAAGTGACGATCAAGTCCCTGATCTCCACCATCTATCTAAAAGGAAATTCAAGGAGGCAAAGTCTGCCAATACCAAAGAAATGCCCCAAAGGGATAATTATTCAGAAATGCTACATCAAGCTTGGAACTGCTCATCAATTTCATCAGAAAAGAAGCATTATGCTATGGATGAATTTCAGGAATCCACAAGACAAGACCATCAAGTTAGGAGCAGGATGAAATTTGAGACAGACGAGAGTCGATCCAGGGTGCCCTTCTATTCAAGAGGTTGCCATGTTGGCTATGAAAACGGCAGCCCTTCAAATTATGATCGGAATGAGTTCCACTGCAGTACGAGCTCTCATTTGCCTAGCAAGACTGAGTACCTTGAAGAGGAGAAAATAAAACTGCTAAAAATGGTTTATGAACTGCAAGGTCAGCTTAGCAGAACACATATTTTGCAAGGGAGGGCAAATGAGAAGCAGCTTCCATCGTACTGTGATTGCGTACCACCTGAGGTGCAAACATGCCACAGTTCAAGCAATACTAGATACACAAGTCGAATCTGGCCCCCCCACCCAAGTCGAATCTCACGAATTCCTTTCTCAGCGGGGGCCACAATCAACAGACCCCAAGTCAATTGCTCGTGTCTGCATTGTTGTCCCCAAGACTGGCAATGCTCAGCACCATTGCCACCACACATTTGCTGTAACAAAAGCCAATATACAGCCCACCCAAGTCAGAGATATCACAATCTGTACTGCTCTACTCCATCGAGTCCCCAGCATTATAAGGGCTCTGAGTTTTCTGATGATCATTGGCAAAAAAATCGCCATGAGGTGAAGAAATATTCGAGGGAGAGACTTCACTTGGCGAAGAGATATGTCCGACCCGTAGCAAGTGGAGCTCCTTTCCTCATCTGTCATAGCTGCTTGAAACTGCTGCAACTGCCTGAAGATTTCCTCCTCTTTAAAAGGAGATGCCATAAGCTGCGGTGTAGTGCTTGTTCGGTTATATTAAAGTTTTCGCTTCACAACAAGACTCATATTGTTCGATATATTGATCTTGATTTTGCTCGTGATGCTATAGCCCCACCGCCCAGTGAGGTCGATGATTGCAGCATTGCTAACAATTGGAAGAAGTTGGCGTCGGTGTTGTCTACCAATAATTGTCCACCTTGTGATCCTGTGTCATGTTCTGATGATTATGGACCACCCTTTCATAAAAGTTACTCTACTGAAGGGGAGTCCCTTTACGTCCATGCCCTCGAAAGGGATTCTAATGGAAGAAAGATGTCATCTAGTAGTTCTTTTGATCCTATGGAAGAGAGAAAGAAGCAGGGTTTCTTCAAAGAGTATCGAAACAAATACAAGAATTCTGTGAAAACCTTAGCATCATCAGTTGGGTCTTCATTCAAGATATCCAAAGCGGAGAAATCATCCTTGGAAATTGAGGAATCCTCACCAAGAGGAAGAGCAGGTTTGGCGCTTCATAGGCTCATGGGATATTCTTCCCCAAGTGAAGTAATTGGTAGCTGATGAGAAAGTTTGATTGGCAAGTCTTGCTTTGTTTGTAAATTTTGTTGTACAGGTGAGAAATAAGATTGAACTTGTAGTGTTTTTGAAGTAGTATACAGGAAAGAAGAAACCCAAAAATTTGATTGTTGTAAATTTGAAGCAAGGTCTTCAATGTGTAGGGCATTGAAAGGTCAAACTGTGCTTGATATATATATATATATATGGATTGATTTACAGAAAGATCAATAAAGTTTGTTTCTTCAAAATTGTCAAGAGATGCACCAACTTAAGAGGAGAGAGGTGACTGTGCCTAGAGTCATTAAGACGGGATTTAACAATTTTCTATAAATCATGAAAGTAATATATAGGAGGAGCTCTTTTTTTCTTTATATTTCTTTCCAGTGCAGCAAGTCATATACAATCTACAGCTGCATAAAGCAGGTGCTGGAAATTCAACAGTTGCATAGCCTTCCGCTCGTTTGTCAATGAATTTGCTAATGAAATTTATATCTTCTTGGTGAAAAAAAAAATAGTCACAAAGAGATATATTTGTCAATAAAGGGCATCAATTGTGTTAGCATGGTATGGTAGTTTATCAAATATTCTGTGAGTTCGAATTTTCTTATCAAATATATATTTAAAATTTAAAATTTCATGATTAAATAGGTGTGTTGTGAAAAGTTAATTGCCGTTCGATAACTTTATAATTTATTATTTTTTTTGTTTACAAAAAACATATTTGATACATATTTTAAATTTTTGATTTGAACACAAGTGAAAAAAAATGGTTGAAAATGGTGGCCGGAGTTGGTTGTCGACTATAGGAGGTGGTGGTGGTTGCGGGTCACGGGAAATGGTGGTCAAAAGTAATTGTCGATAGTCAAAAATGACTGTCGATGTCTAAGGTGATAGTTGAAGGTGGTTTTTAACTACAGGTGATGGTAGAAGACGATTACCGCCGGTGGGAAGTGGTTAACAGCCTAAGGAAGTGGTAGCCAGAGGTGATTGGCGGAGAATGTCATAAACAATGACAGTTGGTAGTGATGAGCAAAATATGTAATGGACGGAAAGGATGAGAAAAAAGAGAAAGAAATAAAAAATAAAAATAAATAAATTAAGCATGTGTTTGAATTTTGTAAACCATTAACAACTTTTTGAAAATGAAAACAAAAATGAATCAAGTTTTTATTTATAATTTTCAAAAATCTTGTAAATTAAAACAAAAAACTGTAAATATAAAAGTTACTAAACGTGCCCTTGGTAAAAATTTACGATTTTAGCAAATGCATTTCAACTCAAGAACCTCAAAGACTTTATTTTTTTTTTTTGGGGGGAGATAAATGGAAAAATCTAAATTTTATGAAGCATTCGAGATGTGTTTTTTAAGTTATTTATTTATTTATATTGAACAAAAAGCCACATGGCTAGGACATGTCCTTGTTTGGTTTGTTTTTCAGAAAAATTTTTGAAAAAAATTCTCTACAAACAAATTTTCAAGAGTAATCAAACCAAACAATTTTTTTTTAAAAAAATCTTAAAATTTTATTTAGTTACCTACTTTCCAAAACCACACTCTCTCTCATACACATTAAATCAATCACTTTTTTTAAAACCCTCTCCCTAAAACAATTTTTCAAAACTATTTCTGAAAAAAAACAAACCAAATAAGTTTTTGTACTTTTTTTCTCAAAAATTACTCTACAAATACAAACCAAACACATTTTTTGGGTAAAATAAGACATTATTACAAACAAAGATTAAACAAGCTCATTAGCAAAGAGAGCATAGGAGGGTTAGACAACACAACCCCAGTCGAAGGTCGTTAGAAGCCAAGCAATGAGCATAAACTAGCTTGCCTCTTCCATCATCTGAAATCCCATGCATGGGAGGCCTGAGAAAAGGTGCACTATCGCATCCAGATTTGCCCAAATCTCCCACCTCATATGTTTTTTTCTTGATTGGCACTGGCATGTCCAGATCAAAACCCGACTAAGGATTTTCCCCCAATTTGATGGACTCAAGAAATCGTTAGCATCTAAGAGGTTTTGATCTCTGAAACCTTAGAGGGAACACACCCCCAAGACCTGAGGCCTTACCACTAGGCCAACCTCTTGGTGTTCCCCACCTCATATGTTTTTAATAATGAACCAAGAAACCCCCATCAAAATTCAGCAGAATTGGATTCAATGATAGCATCTTTTAAATTCCACGAGGTTGCCATTTAGACAAGTAATTCAAATGGCCCAAGCCTCAACAGCAAGGGCATAGGAGACCCTAACACGTCCAAAATTTGTTGCCATCACAACTCCAGAGGAGTCACGAACAATAATGACTAGAATAAAAACAAAAGTATATGAATTCAAACTACTAGTACAAGTTGCAATTTAACACAGAAAGCCGTAACAAGCTTATCCTTCTATATTTCACCTAGTACAGGCGTTGAGATAGAGTTTCAAAGTTTGCCTGTAATCAATATTTTTAAAGATAACAGAATTCTACTCATTTCCTATGGTTAAGTCATACAAAAGATAAGGTCTTTGGTCCAAATATACCAACCTGTTTTAAAAATGTAATAATACAATGTAAAAAAGTAAAATAAAATTGACCCTGTAAAATTTGGGGAAAAAAGAGAAGAAAATGAGTACACATTCTTACCCATACACAGCCAAAAAAGTAAAAATGCTAAGATCCTGGTTCTCGATGTTGCCAAATTTGGTTTAAGAATCCGTATCTGAATCTGAGTCTACATCTGACTGCAACTCTACAGGCTTCCTTCTGTTCGTATTGGCTTCTATGGGTGGGAGTTCATCATCATCAGTTGAGTTAACTTCACTCTGATCCTTCATGGAAGCATCTCCCTCCAAACATTGCCTATAATTGTCTAGAATTGTGGATTTGAAGATTTCTGGCCTGCAACATTTTGCAGCAGCAAGTATACGAAGAAATAAGAATAGGGAAGATAAGGAGTAAGAAACAATCAGTGTAAAAATTACTTTAAGAAAGGAGCTTAGCAGCTGCCAAAAACGATCTGCTTAATTTGGTTAAAAGGGGAAAATACACCAAACAGAGAACAAAAAATAAAAAATAAAAAGGTCCACCTTTCAACACTTGATTCACCTTCACAAAGCCCTCAATTAGACAACTATAAACAAGAAATTTAATGCGATCTCCAAAATAAAGAAGCCTGATAGTTACACAAGTCTTCATATTGTAAGATGTATTCCATTTTGATAAAAGCCATTAGTATATCAGCAGCTTAAGAGCTAATTATGAGATCTAAACTAAAAACAGGCATGGCTCTATGCAACTCTTCAAGCAAATAGCAAAGAAAATTATAAGTAATCCATGGTTAGAAGAGAACACATACTGACTGAGTGTGTTCGCTAGGAAGGGTCTGATGTGAAAATTACTCTACAAAGACCTATGAAGCATGGGTACTTCGAAAAATATGCCATATCCGTACCGCATACTTACCAGCATATGGTACCTTGTATGGTACCTTTGCATACGTACCGGGTACATGAAACATGTACCCAAATTTTTTCTTCTTAATTTTTGGCGTACTTAGACGTACTTAGTATATAACCAAGTCGTACCGTAACTCAATTGAAACAATATTTTTTTCTACTACAGAGATAAAACTCCTTTCACTGTACTTTTTTTTAATTTTTTGTTTTATGCTTAGTTTGATTTTAAAATTAAACTATGGTTTGTAAGTTATTTCATATATTGACATTTAATTTTGATTTATACCTCTACTTTTAGCATTAAATATTAATTATAGGTTGGACCTTAACAAATTAAACTATTTAATTAATTTTTGTATTACTCCAAATTAAAAATAAATATTTTTTTACAAGCGTACCGAGGCATACTACCACACCCTATTTTTTTTTAATTTTACCATATTGACGTACCCGTATCGTACTAGTACCAGTATTCATATCCGTATCCGTGCTTCATAGACAAAGACACCTCGTTTTTTAAATTAATATTCTAAAATGAAAACAAATCTGTTTCAAACCCTAAAAAGAGGGATAAATCTCTAGCCGCAACACTGTCATATGAACGTGATTTGTAGATAAATATTATTTAACTATAAGAACTTCAATCTGATTATTGTAGCTTAGGCAAATTGGGTTAAGTTCAGTTTTAGAGCAATATGTGGACATGGATCATCCTACAAGCTTGACCATGCTTTGTGATCCAAAATTTTAGAACAAGTGAGGATGCAAAAGCAACAAACTAAAAAAATAGGGAAACATGGCTTTTGAATACGAACCATTCTGGAGATTTCCGAAGAACACGAACTTGTTCATGAAAGAGAACTTGAGAAACAATACATGACACTTTTCTACCAGATTCAATGGCCTCCTCTCTTCCACTTTCGTCAGCCACAACAAAGCTACCTGTTTGTAGAAAAAGCAACTTAAATATCACTCTAAAGTCAAGTAGCTTACAGCATCATAAAATGGGTTTGCCAAAAATTTGTAAATCCTTCATCAAAACAATGTACCCAAAACATCCCAAATAATTGGTCAACAGAGAAAATGTATGCTCAAATTGTTCAAATTTTAAAAATGAAAAATTTGACCATCAAATTAGGCTTCAACAAGAACTACAGGAACTGAAATAAAAACTTTAGAAGTTAAATGAATGAAATCAATCAATATTTTATGAATGAAAGAGGAAAAAAAAAAAGAAATGCAATTTGGGATGATGTTTTCTAATCTAAGAAAACAAACCTCTCTTTATCCACATACTCTTCTGGAATTTGGCTGGAAACAATGCCAGAGCTTTCTCACCTTTTGCATCCATGACCTTTCACAGAGATATATAAAGGTAACAACAATCAAACTGATACTCAAGATACAAAAACAACCTACACTTGTTATCTAGCACATATATACAAATATATGTATATGTATATGTATATGTATATGTATATGTATAATGTTTACCTCAATGAGGTTGGAGCCTCGGAGAGACACAACTTGCATGATGCTCTGGCCTTGTTGAAGAGTAAATGTCTCTTGCTCTGCTGCCCTCTTCAGATTCTTCCTTCCTCCTTTCATGGCGTCCACTAGATTTTCACTTGGGATTATTATCAACTCAGCTCAGAAAAACCCTAAGCACCAAATCAAAATTGGGAATTAGGGTTTATTCTTTTGATAAAAGCGTTAATGTACGAGTTACTAGCGTGACAACGTGTTGACAAAAATTAAGTGACAGACATAATCAGGACGTTGATTTTGTAGACAAGTGCTGACACGACTTACGTGGTGATAGATTCGGTAGTTGGTCCCGTCTGTTACGGTAGCTCGCCCAGAAACGAATCCACCTTACCTTTTAGGTTTTCAAACTATCTGGAAGTCGCACTTCTCTCAACTCAACTCAACTCGCGCGTAACGTTCAATTTTCAAGCTTCCATGGGAACTTCTTCAATCTAAACTCCGTAACAAAACCAGGTTCGAATTCAAAATCTCTCTCTCTCTCTCTCTCTCTCTCTGTGTATATGCAAGCATATTACGCCTCCGTTTGGGAAGTGGGTCCGCTTTTTGATTTTTTGGTTTTTTTTGCTATTTTAGCCTGGGCTAAAAAGCTTAGTTTGGAAAGAGCTTTTTCGCTTTTTGACTTTTTTGACTTTTTTTTGTAAGAAAATAGTGTAATGATTATGGGTGGGATGTGACGTTTTAGTTTTTGTGGTTAAAATAGCCTATTTTGTGCTAAAATAGCCAACAAAAAGCCGGGAAAAGCCCTTCCAAACGGACCCTACGTATATGTACAAGTACAAAACGTTTCTTTCAATGGATAGACCTTTTTTTTTGGGGTCACAATCATATATGTATATATAAAGAAAGAGATAGGGTGGTAGGTATGAAATTACAATTGATAGACTGATACATAATGAATTTGAGTTAATTTTTGTAATATTGAATATTATTATGCAGCATAATTAATAAATATAAGGTTTAAAATAAAAAGATAATCTTTAAAAAAAAAACAATATTCTTATGCTAATTTTATCTATCATTGTTGCTTTCACTAGTTCAGTTGTGGAATTTGTGCAAAACAATTGCTATCAATTTATACTACACTGTAAAAGCTTTTATTTTTAAATGTAATGTTAAGATTCAAGTAATTTATTTATAGGTTTATTTGTAATTGTTTCGTTTGTTTTGTGCATAGTGATGGGTCGAAGGAAGCAACCCCGGCCGCATCGGTCAGTGGGGATACTGGAGAGGCGTGAGAGACCTGAAAATGAATTGAATGAGCAAAGTTCTTCTCAAAGGGATGAGTCTGTTAATGTTGAAAAACCATTTTTTGTTGAAGTTGATAGGAGTGGTTGGGATTCGAATGAACATTTTGATGTTTCAGAAGTTCTTTTGACGAATTTGAATTTAAGCAGAGAGTTTTCCGGATATGGATTGAGTGAAAGTTTTTACCAAGATTCAAAGTATTCTTTGAGGCTTAGTTTGTGCAGTGTAAATGAATTTGTTGGTCGCATTAGGTTAGGCCAATGGCCCGTGTTACCTGCTAGCGATGTATATTTGGAATTCACGGAAATGTGCATGTCGGAGGATACAGCAATGGATGCCGTGATAGTGTCGGGGAGTTTTGATGGACCGGATGAGGGTATTTCGGGTCTTGTTCACCTAATTAGTCTTAAGTTTTTGTCATTGAGGCCAGTTCTAGGGTTTACATTTTCAGAAGAAATGTCATCTATAAGGGTGAGAGTGGAGATACTTAAAACTGCATTTGATGCCTGTGATTCTCTTCTTGACACTACAAGGCAACTTTGGAAAAAAAGTATGATGAGTGTCATGGCTTGGCTGCGACCCGAAGTTATAACTTCAGAGGTTAGATACGGATATAGTGAGTCAACGGAACTGGAACTCAGTTTACATATGGGGATGGACAATTACTCCCCGGCCTCAAGGAAACGGGCCAGGTTTGATGCTGCTGGATTTTATGAAGCCATCAAGCCATCAAAGTGAGTTTTAGAACCATATAAATTTGTCCTCAAGTTGATTTAAACTTCAAAGGTTCGGTTGTTGAATTTTTTACTTCACATTGATTTTGTTTCTGACATAATTCATACAGAGGGGATCCCATGCTGGAAGATGACGTACCTGACTTGATTCCGGTGCTTAGACCATATCAGCGCCGAGCAGCTTACTGGATGGTACAACGAGAAAAAGGAGCTTCTGAATGTTCAAGTTCAAGTGAAAGAAGTCAGTTCTTGTCTCCTCTATGTATGCCAGTGAATTTAATTGACTCAAGTTCAACAATGTTTTACAATCCATTTAGGTATGATTTTTACCATATTTAAAGACTTCAGTCTCTCTCTCTCCATTTTCCTTTTTTTTTTTTTTTTGTTGCATTGGACGCACTCTTTTATTAGCCACAGCCTAAATGGGCATGCTGGATGTGGCTAAGAGAATCTGGTTTACTTGGGACCATAAACCTCACTCTACCTCCTTTGTGACCATCGTCTTTATGCCTATATCCTGGTCCGTCTTCTTTTGGCTTCTATGCCCACCTTGAATTTCAATCCTATTACTTCTTATTGTTCAGGCATTTTGTCTTTATTGCACACATGTTTAACTATTTTATTCAGCTTGCCACTCCTCCATTTCAACATTCAATTATTTCTTTTATATGGCTATGTTGCTTTTCAATAGCAATTCAGTTGAACTACCAGAACAAACAGTTAATTCTGGTAACCCATAAGTTACTGATTTAAATGTAAAAGCTCTGGGTTTTGTCAATTGTCAAGTGGTGTTGCCCTGTCAATGCTTGGCTATTTATTACTGTCATTCTGCCCTTTAGAACCTAAAAGTAGGAAGTACTTTCTTTGGCCTGTCAAAATGATGCACACCCTGCATAAATTGCCAATCCACAACTTTGAGAGTCAGTTCTCCTCTCTTTGTCCACTCTAAAGAGAATGTTTAAGTAACAATCTCATGCAATGCCATGAACTTTTCATCAATGATAGTTCGTCATTTGACATGATTCATTCTTTTTTTTTTTTTTTTTTCAGTCTTGTTATTTGTATTGATGAGTACTTGTTAGCGTGAATGATAAAGTACGCTTAGTGAAAATCGAAGACGTGGGAACAGGCTAATTTAGTAACTTTTTGGCTAATTGGCTAAAAAGGTAAGTAAAAAAAACTTGTATGTTTGGGATGACTTTTTGACTAAGTACGAAAAGCTGTGCAAAAAGTAGAGAGAAGCCGTAATTGTTGACTTTTTGATATGACTAATTGGCTAATTGTCTAATTTAGTAACTTTTTGGCTAATTAGCTAAAAAGGTAGCATCCCAAACGAGGCCTTAGTGAAAATCGAAGACGTCTTATTTTCCTTCTGATCCCATCAATTTGCATTTTTAGATTCAGGGTAGCTTGTTGTACGTATTTACAAAATTGATCAAACTAGAAGCATGTTGTGGATTGCGCAGAACTAAATGCGCCTTTTGCCCTTTCCTCATCTTATGTATTTAATTTGATTACACTTTGTTTTCAGTGGAAATGTTTCATTGCATCCGGAATACTCTTCATCATATGTCTTCGGTGGTATTCTTGCTGGTAAGTCCTGCTATGCACTGGCATTGTGTGTTGGTGCACACACAAGGCACGTGCATATAATGTTTCTCGATTCTTGAAAATTTTTCCCTCAATGTTTCAGATATTGGCATTCATGATGAGAAATTTAATCTTTTGGCTTAACTATTTTTGCTCCTTAGCTTCTACATATTTACTGTGAACATGATAGACAATGTTTAAAAAATTTGAATGTCTTTATTATTATGACTAATATATGTAACTTAGTGATAAAAAGCCAAGGTAAGTGTGGTTGATGTCTCTTTAGGTTACTTTGGACTTAGTCTTTTTATTTTTATGCATTATAATTTTTTAAGCTTGTATTGCCAGCGAAAGAAAAGAAAAACCTAAATTGGCCACCAGTTATGCTTCTTGAACTGTTTCTTTAGGTTAGACCTAGAGATGTTATAAAAAGTATGGACAAAGCCTTTCACACAAATATTATATTGAACTTCTAGAGAGAGAGAAAAGTAGTCTTTCATGAGCTTGTTAGGTATAAGAAGCTATAGGTAGAACACACATTATACGAATGCTAAAAACGTCACAAACTTGAATAGATATTATTTGAAAACAGTATGATGCCAAAAACTAAGTGCAAAAGGCATCAAGGTGGCATTTTAAAATTTTGGCTGAAGTTCAATATCCTCATACGAAGCCAATATATCACAAATTCCCAAAAAGAAAATCACAAATTGTGAAAAAGATAATCTTTTATAACTGCATAACCATGAAAACTTACGAAGTACGGACACTTCTAAGAAATTGGCGGCTTGACGTTCTCGATATGTGGTATCATGTCGTAGCTTGTTATATCTCTTTTTAATAATGTCATATATATACTTTGTTAAAATATGTCATATATACTTGGTTTTTAGAGACTTGGTCAGAGCGTCAGTGGAACCATGGAAACTACGATATAGGTTCACTGTCGAATTCGATTTCATCAAGCTTTGTAAAACCATTGCCACTCACTGGTGAGTAATTCATTCACAAACTATTCTTACAATTCTTTACTCTTTTTTGATTTGTTTTTCCTGATTCCATTATAGTAGTTGCTCTGCTTCTCTTTTGATTTTGATCCTTTTGTATTAACATGGAAAAATGAGGGATTTTTTGCCCCATTAATTAATGTGATTATTGTGCTCTTAAATTACGCAATATAGGATGGAAGATGATTTTCTGGTTTTTGTTCTAAACCCACAACAATACTAAAATCTTTGAGGACTGTTTTAGGTTTGGATTTTCTTTCATTGATCCATTTTTGTACTTATTGCTTTTTCTATAATTTAATTAATTTTGACCTCATTCTATTTAATTAATTTTGACCTAAATCTTGATTTACAGGTGGGAGACATAGTTGTTCTAAAAAGTATCATTAGGCTATTAGAAATAATTGCAATCGGAGTGCTTATACGTATAAGGGAAAGAACTAGGACCTGACTATTGGAGGTACATGTTCAAGTGTCAGTTGAACCTAATGAGAGCTTGATCCGATCATATGAACTTGTCAAAACAATTGGACAAGTTATTGGAGCTCATGTTGTTTGGCCTGCTCCATTTGTGGTATATTTCTTTCGTAAATACTAATTCCATTAACAAATTTATATTAACTTAATATAATTTCAATTACTTTTATATGTTTATCTTTTGGATGTAGATTTCGCAAGTTATGGATGCTAGCCGATAATATTTATACAAGTGAGGTTGAAAATTTGGGAACTGATTTTATTTTGATAATTTGTCTCTCCGAAAAATGGATATCACTATGACTTTTCAGAACTTATGATTGGAATAATTTTCTTTTAAATTTTTTTTGCTTTAACTTTGTTGGTGTGGTAGAATATTTTATAATTTTGGCAAGGGATTTTTATTGTAATATAAATAAATTTATATTTCAAAAATAAATAATTGATTGTGGTTTGAATTTTTTTTGTTTTTGATGTGATGATCTTATGGTGGTAATATTTGTTTATTATTATGAAAATATTAAAAGATGAATAGATGCCAAATTAATATAGGATGTTGTAATTAATATTCAGTTGTTTATAAAATCAATTTAATTTTTACAAGCATTCAAGTATGCTTAGTTGTACCTTTTAAAAGTGTCAATGAAAAGAACATATGTGTGGCATTTTGTAGTAGTGATAGTAGCTTTGCAAAGTGTCATTAAAAAAAGTTCCAATGACACTTATATCCATTTAATGGCACAAATGAGTTGGATTTAGTGGCATTTTTTGAAGTTGTTATAAATATCAATTGTGACGTAACAAGCGTCATTAAAAATTCATATTGTGACATTTTTTAGATTGCAAGTCTTCTTTAATGGCACTTGATAGTGTCACGAATAGTGTCTACTATAACATTAAAGTGTCACTGAAAGTTTTTAGTCCTGATGGTGTAATGACACTTACAAGTGTCACTGAAGTGCCACTAACTCTTTTTTTTAATGACACTTGATAGTGTCACAAATAGTATCTATTATAACATCAAAATGTCATTGAAAAATTTTAGCCATGATGGTGTAGTGGCACTTGCAAATATCTGCCGTGGTACGGATATAAATGGCACTTGTTCAAAATGTCACAATACTAAAAAATATTATTAGAATAATAGTTTTGTGACACTTTTAAATGTCACTAAACTAAGAAAATACTGTAGTATGGTTATCATCTCTGGACTTTTGAGAAACTTACAGAAATTGATCATGATTAACACTGTAAAACGAACTAAGTTAGAGTGGATGCCCATGTTCTGTTTGTTAAAAATTCTTTTGAGATCAACTTGTTAAAAAAATAAATTAAGATTGAACACATTTAAAATTTGTAATGCTTTTAAATCAAATTTAAACAGTCTCCACTATTCAACTCAGTATATATGGTTTAAGTGGGTGAAGTAGGTGGAGAGTATGTGGATTTAGTGGGTTAGGTTTAGTGGAGTAGGTTTAAGTGGGTGAAGTAGGTGGAGAGTATGTGGATTTAGTGGGTTAGGTTTAGTGGAGTAGGTTTAAGTGGGTGAAGTAGGTGGAGAGTATGTGGATTTAGTGGGTTAGGTTTAGTGGAGTAGGTTTAAGTGGGTGAAGTAGGTGGAGAGTATGTGGATTTAGTGGGTTAGGTTTAGTGGAGTAGGTGATGTGGTAGTGGTGTAGTGGGTTAGGTTTAGTGGAGTAGGTTTAAGTGGGTGTAGTGGGTTAGGTTTAGTGGAGTAGGTTTAAGTGGGTGAAGTAGGTGATAAATTTTAACAGTTTCTTTAGGTTAGACCTAAAGATGTTATATAAAGTATGGTCAAAGCCTTTCACACAAATATTATATTGAACTTCTAGAGAGCAAGAAAAGTAGTCCTTCATCAACTTGCTAGGTATGAGAAGCTATATGTGGAAGTAGAACACACATTATACAAATGCTAAAAATGTCACAAACCTGAATAGATATTATTTGAAACAGTATGACACCAAAAACTAAGTGCAAAAGGCATCAAGGTGGCATTTTAAAATTTTTACTGAAGTTCGATATCCTTAAACGGAGGCATGATATCACAAATTCTCAAAAAGAAAATCACAAATTGTGAAAAAAAAATCTTTTAGCACTGCATGACCATGAAAACTTAAGGAGTGCGGACACTTCTAAGAAGTTGACGACTTGACGAACACTTCCCGATATGTGCCGGACACTAATCCAAATTTGTCATATTATCTTTTTAGACCTGAGCATACTTTAGTTACTTGGGGGATGCACGTGTCTATTGCTTATACACATGAAACTAATTATAAGTTTGAGCAAAATAACTTAGGGTACAATGATAAAATAAAAACAATATATATTTATAGGAATTATTTTTATATTGAGTTTTTATTTTTATTTTTTTATTATCTTCGAATGATATATTCATGTTCATCTTGTGCATTTCGAGGCACGTCAAATACATGATTGAATTGCATACTTTGCCAATCCCTTCTGCTTTGCTGCTTTATTGTCATACTCAAATGACCAGGTAGGCATGATCTTGAAAGCAGTGAATTATTGAGTTACCTGTTTACCTTATTGTGGTGCTTATGGTTAACCTTTCACTGATTGTCATCATGGAAAAACTGTTAAAACCTACCACTACCACCTACTACCACCTACTCCACCTACTACACACCTACCACTACCACCTACTCCACCTATTACACACCTACCTACTCTACTCTTCTATATATAGGAATCATTATAAACATATTCAATAACAATCAATAATACAATCAATATCTATACAATTCTCTATTTCTCTTTATACATTAAATTTCTACATGGTATCAGAGCGGGTTTAGAACCTAGTATTTTCGCTTCACCGGCGGGCGGCAACCTCCACCTTAGCCGCCCGCCGGACCTCAACCTATTCCGCTGTCATCTCTATCAATACATATAGCTTCCAGTTCGCCGCCACCAGAGGCGACTTCTCTACATACAAAGATCAACCATTCTCATCTCTCTCTAGCTGGGTCTCTCTCTCCACAGACACACAGTAGCCACACACACACACAACATGCATAAACTCTCTCTGAGATGAAGAGGCCAACCTCTCTCTCTCGGCAACTCTCTTCGGTTTCTCTCTGCACCACCCAAATACATCTATATATATATATATATCTCTGATAGAGGGTGGAGACCTGGGCTCTCCTCTTCTCTCCCTCTCGAAGAACACACGGGTTGCTGAAATTATCATCTTCCGCTGCCACCGACTCTCTCGCCGGCGATGTTGATTCCGGCGCTCATTCCGCTCACTCATTAGTATATATTTTTTTTTACTCCCAACTCTCTGCCGAGAGAGAGATAGAGCTAGAGAGAGGGAGTTGCAGAGATAGAGGTGCCGAGAGGTTGATGCCGTGTGTAGTGTGTTATCTGTGTGTTGGGTCTTTGGCTCAAAAAATGCTCTCTTTCTGCCCGTGCACCCCCCGAGGGCAAGCAAATGCTGTGTTGTTTTTGAGAGAGTAAGAAAACTTGCATCGAAGCTCTCTCTCTCACAATCCGACAAAAAGATTTTCTCTCTCTCACTTTACTTTTTTTTTGCACCCCACTTTACCTTTATTTATTTTATTTTATCTTCCCTTTTTCATTCCAAAAAAAAAATTATTTTGAAACAGCCATGTTCCCTTCGTCATCCACCTCATACCGATCTTTCTCACATAACCCATCCAAAAATATTTTTTTATCTATTTATTCTTTTATTTTATTTTTATTCTTAAATAAAACAACAACACAAAATAACACCACAAAAAAAAAAAAAAAAAAAAAAAAAAACAAAACAAAACAACTACATCCACAGGCGGGATTTTTCTTCTCTACTCTGCTGCAGGTTTCTTCTTCTTGCTTTTCTCTTGGGTATCCCGTGACTGCCCAGCCTTCGTGCTTCCTAGACCCCCAAGCAAGTTGCCTCCCCCCTGCTCCTCCACTACAGCATATGGCGAACCTCCAAATCGGAACATAACGGTGGCCTTCCGCTTTAGCTCCTTGTTTTCCGCTTTTAGCACACATATCTCTGCTCGCACATCCTTATACATGCGCTGGAGTAGAGCCAGTTGGGCGTTTAACTGCTGCACCTCATTTGTCCTACTCTGAAGCTGGTGCGACAAGTTTGTGACCGCAGTCATGGTCTCCACACATGACTTCAATGTATACTGATTGGCCTCAATATCCGATTGCACTGCCATTCTTTGCTCCACAGACCGCATCGGAAAGTTCAACGGAGCAAAACCAGAGGCGCTTGATTGAGGTTCCAGGGCAACCGCACCAGTTATCTCTCTTGTGGACTCGTTAAGGTCTGGAAAGAGAGTGAGGAGACCACGGGAAGAAGAGGCCATTTTCTGGGCAACCGAGTGTTACAGAGTATCTCTCTCAGAAAACGAAGAGTTTTTCAGAGGTTTTTAAGCAGGTTTTTGTCTTAGCCTCTGCCTCAACCTCAGCCTCAGCCTCAGCCTCAGCCTCCGTCTTGGTTAAATAGCCAAGGCAGACACGTGCATCGTGCGCCGCTCGGCGCTAGACGACAACATGGGCGCGCAAGCCAAGGTAGTCACGAGCATCGCCATAATGTCCGACACACCTTTTATGGATTGGGCACGCCTTTTGATGGCACGCCTTTTGAAAGATTGGGCACACCTTTTGAGGGTGCGACTTTTCCAACAGTCCGGCATGACCCCATAAACTGTCCCGACATTGATTCCGGTTAGCTTTTACAATGGTCCGACATGACCCCATAAACTGTCCCGACATTGCTTCCGGTTAGCTTCTACAACGGTCCGACATGACCCCATAAACTGTCCCGACTTTGATTCTGGTTAGCTTTTACATCGGTCCGACATGACCCCATAAACTGTCCCGACATTGATTCCGGTTAGCTTTTCTAACGGTCCGGCATGACCTCATAAACTGTCCCGACATTGATTCCGGTTAGCTTTTCTAACGGTCCGACATGACCCATAAACTGTCCCGACATTGATTCCGGTTAGCTTTTACATCGGTCCGGCATGACCCCATAAACTGTCCCGACATTGATTCCGGTTAGCTTCTCCAACGGTCCGGCATGACCCCATAAATTGTGACGACATTGATTCCGGTTAGCTTCTACATTGGTCCGGCATGACTCCATAAACTGTCCCGACATTGATTCCGGTTAGCTCCTACAACGGTCTGACACAACCATACAGTGTCTTCACTAACGGTCTGACACGACCATACAGTGTCTCCTATCCTCTTTTATTTTTATGTATTAGTCTATTTTCTTACTCTTTCCAAACTCAAGTTGATTTGTGTCTCTCCTCCTTGAGTTTGCGGGGGGCTGTTAAAACCTACCACTACCACCTACTACACACCTACCACTACCACCTACTACCACCTACTCCATCTACTACACACCTACCTACTCTACTCTTCTATATATAGGAATCATTATAAACATATTCAATAACAATCAATAATACAATCAATATCTATACAATTCTCTATTTCTCTTTATACATTAAATTTCTACAAAAACTGGTATGGAAAATTAAGACTTCCCTGCCTAGACTGCTGTACAAGTACATTAGTTAGGATATTATATTTGTGATGGTCTGATGTGGCATAGTTTCTTTGACTCTGTTCAAATGTCATCTTTTTAGTTTTAAACATTTGCTTATCTGTTTCAGTTTTGGTTGCTCTGATTGTGATCATTCATAAAAATCACAGATGAGATGGGATTGGGGAAAACGGTTGAGCTGCTTGCCTGTATATTTGCTCACCAGAAGCCGGCATTTGAAGGTGGCACTAATTTTGATAATATAATGCAAATTACCGAGGATCAGAAAGTTAACCTGAAAAGGTTGAAAAGAGAGCGCATTGAGTGCATGTGTGGAGCTGTGAGTGAAAGCTCTAGATATACAGGATTATGGGTGCAATGTGATATCTGTGATGCTTGGCAACATGCAGATTGTGTGGGCTATTCAACTGGAGGGAAAACTTCAAAATCCAGAGAAGTCTCTAAAGGACAAGGATATAAAAATAACCAGACAGAAAACTCACGAAAGCGTACAAGAAGGAAAAGTAATTCCAAAGTAGTTGTGATGGAAGGGGATCATATTTGCCACTTGTGCTCAGAACTGATTCAAGCTACTGATGCTCCAGTTGCTACTGGTGCAACTCTTATAGTATGTCCAGCTCCTATATTGCCCCAATGGCATGCTGAAATTATTCGGTACTATTCTTGCTTTTATTTTCACTGACTTGCATTCATCTCTGCAGAATGCATTGAAACTGACTTTTATGATTAGTTGGTTGCTATTCTTTGTGTCCACACAGAAATTTTACAATGTTTGTGGGAGTGTCTGATTGTAAGAGAGTAATTATGTGAAAGAACAGAATTAAGTAGAAGTATCCCTGATCTACAAATTTCTTGATGCTGGTGAATAGAGCAACTGGGTTTATGGCTCTCTTAAAATTGTGATATGAAGTTTCCATAATATCATATTTGTGATGTAGTAGTAGTTTTGTTGTGATCTGAGTGTATACACATGTATATCCCTGACACGTGTCCATGCCACATCATCTAGGATGACCACATGTCAGACGGCATATGGAACACATGTATCTCTTGTTTACATGCCTTCTGTCATTTCAATGCTCCCAGTTTTAGGTCTAGCTCCCACCACAAGGAGATAACATGTGGCACTTGGGCTTCAGATCTATAATTAGAGATATTACAAGGAACAATTGGGAGCTTAAACATTGAGCTAGAGCTCAATACCTTTGGTCTATCCACGTAGATTAGATATAGGTCTAGGACATTTACCAAGAATTCCTTGGACTACCACAGATTAATTAGTCTACATAGCTTTGTGGTTAGTTGAGGGTCTGAGAAGGATCGTTATAGAACTTATTTGGCTGCTTTGCCCATATATAAGAGGACTGAGTTTCATCTGCCTTATCAACATCTTCAACAATTGGATCTGGCTTGGCCAAAGAAGTTGGACCTGCCATAAAGACTGGTCTGGAATAATCAAGAAGTTGGATCCTATGGAGAGCACTGTTTTTTTCCCCCTCCCCTCGGCTGGGTGATATCAGAATAATCAAGAAGTTGGATCCTATGGAGAGCACTGTTTTTTTCCCCCTCCCCTCGGCTGGGTGATATCAGATTTGCTGAAGGTGCTGATTGTAGCTGGCTTGGAGTAGTGAAAGAAGCTTCAGTTATGGGGTTTTGTTACTGTTTGATTTGAGGGCAACCCAGAGGCTGTGATAAGTAGTTTGTCAGGCTCATTTGTGGCTTCAGGCCCTATAATCATGTTAGAAGAGAGATTGGTTAAGCTTTCATGGCTTCAGGTCAAAAAGAGATCAATTAATGGGTCCACTAATGAGTTGATTGCTTGCGTTTATTCCCAGTATAATAATACATAGATTGTTTTGACAATTCAATTTATGCTGTCAGGTTGATGGGATCATGGGATGCTTATTAATTTCTTTTATGTGTAGTTTGTTATTGATGCATCAAGTTTGCAGTACTTGCTGATTTCTTGACACCTTCTTGTTCTTAATATTTGTCTTTCAATCCTAGTCATACAAATCCAGGTTCCTTGAAAACTTGTGTTTATGAAGGTGTTCGAAACACTTCGCTTTCAAATACGTCACTGATGGACACCAGTGAACTTCTCGGCGCTGACATTGTTTTGACAACATATGATGTGCTTAAAGAAGACTTATCGCATGATTCTGATAGGCATGAAGGGGACCGTCGGTTTATGAGATTTCAGAAGAGGTACCTTCAAAATTTTGATTTTCTCGATCCTTTATCTTTTACTGAAACGGGTTTCAAGTTATTGTGCATACAATGAATTGCTTTGCTACTTCATACAAAGCTCCTTTTAGAAGATTGTTACTAAATATGTTAGTTTATGCTGTCTCGTAAAATCAGCCACAAGATTAAGAATGAGTAGTTTATAATGAATATAATTGATGATTCTTCTTTGTTTGTAGAAAACATTTCTTATTTTTGTAGGATAGATGACCCTTAATGCTTCTTTTGTTCTTCCCTCAATGTTTTAGTATTTAACCAAGGATTCTATTTATAATTGAGTCTGCTCGATAATCTTCACTGGAATTATATGATAGGGTCTGTTCTCTATATTTTTTCTTGATCGTGTGAGTGACTTTGATCTTGGTTTGTTCCTCAAGGAGAGTTTCTATTTGGGCCGTGCAAGAGGTCCTTCAGCTGTTATTGAGATGAAATCCTGATGCAGTACGCAGTAGGGGGAAAGAGAAGAGAGAAGAGGAGGGAGGAGAAGAACAAGGGCCACAACCCTAACACAAAACGGCCACAGCCTTCAATTCTCAATATTAATACAATGCAAACCCTAGTAGTTTTAATTATAAGCTAAAAACCCTAATCAAAACATAATCCCTGATATAATAAGACACTCTTAAATATTGCTTTTATCCTAATTAACTCTAAACAAAAATAAATAATCATAAGTATTAAAAATAAGATTATGAAAAAAATTAAATATCCATGGTGCACACACGTTCCACATCAAATCCTTTGTGTCATTCCAGTAGGAAGCATCTACACGCAAGGAGTGCCTTGTCTTGCATGGTTATGCTGGCACTAGTGTTTGAGGTTTGTGATGTTAGGTGTATGCAAATAAAATATTTCAACCTTAAAAGAAGATGAGATAAAAATGGAAGAGAAGGGTTCATTTGGTTTGGGTTCTTAAAATGTGGTTCTGGAATGGTTTCATCATAGCAAAAGTGAAATCAATAAAATCTCTTGAGAATTCATCCTTTGAGTCAAAACCAGTATCTTTTCTTTTCGTTTACTAATAGCAGAGTCTTTTGAAAATTTCCCCAATTAATGACTGCATCTTCTGTTGTAGATACCCTGTTATCCCAACTCTCCTCACCAGAATTTTCTGGTGGAGAATTTGTTTGGATGAGGCTCAAATGGTGGAGAGCAATGCTGCTGCTGCGACAGAAATGGCACTGCGGCTTCATGCTAAGTATCGTTGGTGTATTACCGGGACTCCTATACAACGCAAGCTTGATGATTTATATGGCCTTTTGAGGTTCCTTAAAGCTAGTCCGTTTGATGTTCTTAGGTGGTGGATTGAAATCATACGAGATCCATACGAGGTGTAGTTCTCAATTTTTTTTTTCTTTCTAAAATCTATTAATGCCAAGATGCTTTTAAAAGCTTTGACTGGTAAAGCTAAAAAGGGCATAGCTTCTCATATAAATTGCAAATAAAAGGAGTATCTGTTGTACGTTCAGCTTTTTATGTTGAATTATCCATCACATTTTCCTTGATTCCTTATAGTAGCTCTGTTATAGCCCTCAACGGTGGACACATGAGACCTTGTTTGTAATGTTGGTGTTTATCAGCTGCCACTGTCCATTTCCAAGGATTCTAAAATAATCGAACAGCATCAAGAAACTCACTTTTTTGATGGATTTTTTGATCATGTTTATATTGGTTCACACACCATATATAATTGTTTAGATGAAGAGAGGTGCAAGCGCAAGATTGACATGAATATTGTCAATGAAGTCATTGGAATTTCATTAGAAGTCTTTTCTATTTATATTGTTTCATTTTCTTGTTTTAGATGTTTTAGGGAAAAATACGGGGGTTAAGTTGCTAACCTTATTTGCTTAGGGTAGTTTGTATGATTTATGTAAGGCCTAAGAAAATAAGATGTTGGGAGAAAAACTAATTAAGCCTTGGAGAATGAACATATTTGAAATATTAGGAAAAGCTTCTCTCTCTCTCTCTCTCCTCATTTTTCTTTTGCCTCATCTCTTTCTCTTGTCTATTATATGTTGTGTCTTCTTTTCTCTCTCATCTCTCTCTCTCTTTTTTTTTTCTATGTTACATATGGACTCTTCTATTTCTCCCAAAGTATCCGTGTCCATCGGATATGACAAGGCTAAGAGTGTGGGATGTGTGTCTGACACTGCTACCCAATTTAGACACTTAGATCCACCAACTTTTTACAATGTTTAAAGAATAACAAACTCACATTTGCTAGAAAAGAAACATTTATAGCCTCTACCATAGATGAGAGATAGAAATTTCATATTTTTCCTAAATCCTATTTAATTTCAAGTACATATCTACATAATTTACAGTATTTTATCTGAAAATATTATATAGTGTGTAATATAAGTGTCCAAAACTAGTCCTTGTACCCATATCCTACTTTTGGCTACATATCCCAATATCTTGATATTTGAGTTTATGAAGGTTTGACGCTTGGACATGCACCCCTACCCAAATCCATGTGACATAGGATAACTTAATGGAGGAGTGAAAAAAAATGAGAATGTTATCCCTTCCCTCTTGTATGGATAGTCATAAGGGAGGAAGCAAAGGAAATAAGGAGTTGTCCTTTCCCCTTGTTTGGGAAAGATGGAGGAGAGAAGAAAAGACAAATAAGTTTTTCTATGTAAGAGGGGCAAGAAGGGAAAGGAACCCTTCTAAAAAATGAAGGGCAAAGCAGGTACCTAGTAACTTTCTCTTTCTTTTCTCTCCAAATCTCACCATTTTTGGAGAGATTCAAAGGGGTTTTGGTTTCTCTCCATTTCTTTGAAGCTATCCAAACAAGTGATTGGGATGGAGACCTTTTCTACTCTACACAATTACCCTTAATACAACACTTGAGATGGTGGTAGGGGCCTATCATGGGAATACCAAAATGTGACACAGCTTCAACACAAAAAATTGGGTGTTTACCTGTGTAATATAATACAGATAATGTTCCACCAGCAATCAGTACTTGCTTTTTTCCCTTTTATTTATTTATTTATTTTTTGTAAGTGGTTCAGCTCTTGTAGTTTATGAATGTTTTACCATATCTTTTTATATAAAGCTCATTTTGTAATCTTGGACCTAGCTTTGCAGAGGGGAGATGTTGGAGCTATGAGATTCACGCATAAATTCTTTAAGCAAATAATGTGGCGTTCTTCAAAACTACATGTTGCAGAAGAATTACAGCTTCCTCCCCAGGAGGAGTGTCTCACTTGGCTATCTTTCTCCCCTATTGAAGAGCACTTTTATCAGAGGCAGCATGAAACTTGTGTGAACTATGCTCATGAAGTAATTGAGAGTTTCAAAGATGACATTCTCAAACAAAAAATCACAGGTTCTTAATGAACTTCCTTCTCCTCCCTTTATGAGTTGGTGAAGATCAATGTATTTATCCAAACAAGGAAACCAACTTTCGGGTCTTACAATGCTTTATACTCTATAGGTTCCATGTCATCTGAAGCTGCGTCTGATCCTTTTATCACCCATCTGGAGGCTGCGAAGCTGTTAAACTCACTCTTGAAGCTTCGGCAGGCATGTTGCCATCCTCAAGTGGGAAGTTCTGGGCTGCGTTCTTTGCAACAGTCTCCCATGACCATGGATGAGATATTATCAGTGGGTTTCTTGTAAATAGGTTTTAGGTCACATGACTACCATTTCCTAGAATAAGTATATCACCAATTTGCTGATTTCTGTTAACTGGGATCTGTACTGTAGGTTCTTGTAGGCAAGACCAAGGTAGAAGGGGAGGAAGCTCTCAGGAAATCAGTTGTTGCATTGAATGGACTCGCAGGAATAGCTATAATCAATCAAGACTTTTCCCAAGCAGCATCATTGTACAGAGAAGCACTAGCTTTAGCTGAGGAACACTCTGAAGATTTCCGCTTGGACCCTTTGTTAAACATTCATATTCATCATAACCTTGCTGAGATACTCCCATTGACTCCAGATTACTTGCAAAATAAGCAGTTCCCTGAAAGCTCAAAAAATAAGGCCTCTGGGGTATATGATGTTGAAAAATGTGATCAACATGATGGGAAAAGAGAAAAAATAAGTGGGGAAGACTCCTCAGATTTGACTATTGATGCTGAGAATTTACCTGAGTATACTTCTGACCCATTAGCTAATGGCTCAAACCATGATAAAGAATGTGATGCTAAGGCCCACTTACATTCTAAATCTTCTAGTGATGGATGTTTGATAACGGAATGTGAGAATCTGAAACAGAAGTTCCTATCTGTGTTCAACTCGAAGCTATCCTTGGTTCAGCAAGAGTTCAAAAAGTCACATGTTCAGGTATATTTACTCTTTATCTCATAGCATGTGAGGAAATATCAGTTGTGGTTCTTTGGTTTGTGGTACAATATGCACAGGTCTTATGTATTACAATTTACATGATATGCTATGTATGTATGCAAGACCATACCAAATATTTCCTTGATTTTAAGAATTTCTAATATGATATGCATGATAAATGTTACCTCACATAGTGAATGATGTTTATTAATTATGTATGTCCATTGCAAATGCATGTTGCATTTTAATATGGCGTGCCACAGACGATATGCTTGTGGAATGGGTCAAAGTATAAACTATTCACACACTATCAAAATTTCCCCCCTTTTCAATCAGGATCTCTCGGTTTCAACTTCACCTAAGTTAGTTTAAGTTCTAAAGTGGATTAGCTTTATCTTTTTGCTCACCATTAATTTATCTTTTACAGAGAGGATTAAGTTGAATTAATTTTATAATGCTGTTGCATTTATTTATTTATTTGAAGGTTTGTAATGCATTTAGCGATAGGAAAAATCAGCACACTGTTTGGTGGTTGGAAGCCCTTCATCACATTGAGCAGGACAAGGATTCCTCAAGTGAGTTGATCAGAAAGATTGGAGAAGCTGTCTCCAATACAATGAAATTTTCTAGGTCGTCAAAAATTGCATCCTGGTTAGTGGTAGTTTTGGTTCTTCTCTTCATTTTACTTCTGTGCTGCACTGATATAACTATGTCTTATTTGTATGTTATAGTCAAAATTCTTATGGCTGCTTTTGTTTTGTTGAAGGAAAAGAAGCATGTTAATTTCCTGATTTCAAAGTTCTTTCCCAGTGGAACACCCTGCATATATGGTTTGAGCAGAGCAATTAGAATGCCATTGATCTGCTGTTGTATTGCATGAATTTTGTTGGGAGCTGTTTTTTTTGTTTTTTAATTTTATAATATTTCTCTTAGCTATTACAAAATGCTTACTCTAAATCTAATAACAGGTGTGCGAAATAGTTGTTATGCCTCAACTATCAATTGAACTTATTAATAGGCAGTGTACAAAACCATATGTGCTAAAAATATAAGCAGCAAGAAAGTGCAAGGAGATATCCTTTAACTATGAAACGAAAATCAAACAGTATTATCTCTCATGTTAAATGATATATTCGCATATATGGCATATAGTAGATATATAAAACTATCTATTTTGTGCATGTTCCCCACGTGTCATGTCTTGCAATTTTAAAATTGTTGTGTCAAAGTGTCCGTGTCATGTCATTTGTCCGTGCTTCTCAGAATTAGCTCATATAGTAAAACATTCTCTCTCTCTCTCTCTCTCTCTCTCTCTCTCTTAATCTGTCCATCATGTGTTCCATATACACTCTATTGGTTTAATTTTAATTTAATTGACTATCAATATTTCTTTAATTATACTAAGATTCATTGGTTCTCCCAGCAGTCAATCTAGTGAAAACCGTGTCATGTAAATGTTATATAATTATTGTTTTCTTTCAATTAGTTGTAGCAACTCGTACCCTTTTTATTTTTTCATTTTTTAATTTTTTAGAGAGAGAGAGAGAGATCAACACAACAAAATATTTTGTCACCTTTAGTCGGGTTCTTGGTGATGTGTTCTTTAGCTGCCCTAGAAAAACGGAAGTGTAACTGAAAAATTTTTACTTGATACCTTGGTGATAGCTGGCTGCTTAACTGAATATAGCTTTGAGTTCTTCCTTCTTGCCAACTAGATCATTCAGAAACACGAGTCTTCCTTTTGAACAGATAGCTGATGTAGCATTGTTTTTGGTTAGGCTTGTTCACATTGCTTCATGATGTTTTATATGGTAATGAGGACTTCTGTTCTATGGGAAGCAATGGTGAAAAGGCCTTGCCTAGGCTTTATGAAAGACTGCAGCACTTAAATTACTGAATTGAAATTTGTATTGCTAATACTAACTTACTTACTGTTTTGTACTCAAGCTTTCGAAGCATAACTGCTCTGAAGTATTACATCCAGACTGGTTTGGATTCACTGGAAGATTCTAGGAAAACTTTACTTGATAGACTTTTGGAAATTGATCAGACAATGGGAAGTCCAAGAGAGGAGGATATTGAGCGTGTGAGATACTGTCCGAACTGCCAAGCTAATGGAGATGGTCTTATATGTGTTCATTGTGAACTAGATGAGTTATTTCAGGTTTTATATCTAACTTGTTTGTTAAACTGAAGTTTTTTTATACAACTAAAATTTGTAGCACAGGATTCAGATCCTCTCGTCATATTCCCACCATTTATTCTTTTTTTCCTCCCTCTAGGTCTATGAGGCCAGACTCTTTCGTCTTAACAAAGGACATGATGGAGTCTTTACATCTGCTGAGGAGGCAGTAGACCTGCAAAAAAAGAAGTCTGCTCTGAACCATTTTTATTGGACTTTGTCACGGCCTGAAAAAAAATCAACCTCTTCCAGTGTCAATTATGAAGATAATGGAGGGAGGAGGGATGCTGGGGAAAAAGTAGTGGTAAGTAAGTTCGTCTCATCTGCGTCAATTAGTTGTCAAAGGTGTTCCAATTTTACGAGTAATGCTGCGCATACCACATTTTTCTACCACATATATTACCAATGCAGTACATCACATGTTAAACGATATGTGGAGAGCTTGGGTGTTTGCTCCTTTGTGTTTGATGTGGTTGGTTTGATTGGAGCGGAATCGTCGGACTTTCTAGGGGTGTGCTCTTTCGGTGCCTCATTTAGAATCTCGATTTTTTGGTGTTTTGTATAGTTGGGTGTTTGATCCAATTTATTTGCTTTCTTGGATTTTGTAGATAATTTAGTTGATTAGGTCCCCTGTTTTTGGGCTTGGTTTTCTTGTATTCTTTTGCATCTTCTTAATGCTTCTGTAATAAATTTTATTTATCAAAAAAAAAAAAAAAAAAAACCCATATGTGGTAGAAAAATGTGGTCGTGCAGCATCATTCCAATTTTATTTGTGCTTTTTGTTTACACTTTTATAAAATCTGGGTAATCTATAACTTGTTCAGACCCATGTATCAGTTTGCCATCTTGCTGGTAATCATTACTGGCATAATTTAGGATAATGAACCAATTTACTGGATGAATTGAAATTTCTATTCATTTACAAGCTAGGGGATTATATCTCATTCCATGATTATTCTGATTGAATCATTGCAATTTTGGATTTGGCATCACCTTGTGCCATTATGAGATCAAATTTTCTTATTTATTTTTCCAGCTGTCTTTTTCAGTCTTCTTTTTAATGCTTTTGGATATTTGATATTCATATTAAGTGACAGCAAGTTTAAACTTTTTGACTTCATTTGAAGAGCTAGTGCTGGTCATATCCTGTGGGTGGAAGATGTCAATTCATCCTTCATGTTTGGAGCTCCAAATATTGGCTGAATTAAATTTCCTTTTCAAACACTAGCTAGGGGACTATATCTCATTCCATTCATTATTCTGATTGAATTGTTGTGATTTCAGATTACTGCTTCTGTCATTTGCTGTCACCTTGTGCCATTATGAGATTAATTTTTCTTTTTCTTTTTCCTACTTTCTTTTCTGTCTTCTCCTTTTTAATGATCCATTTTTTTTATTTTTATTTTTAAATATTTGATAATTTGGTATCCGGCCCTATGGACCGTTATATGTTCAATCTTAGGAAGTTTAAATGACCACATATGTCCTGAAGAGACACCTTCCAAAGAAAATTCCAAGCTGTATCTCTACTTTCAATAAAGCAGGCAATTAATCCTTAAATCATTGACCAAAAAGTTTACCAGAATCCCGAATCTGTTACCAGAGTTGTCTTAATTTCTTGAAAATGCTTTTGAGGTGCTATATGCTTCTTGTATTCCTGCTTTGGATGCAATGCATCATACATTTGGACATTTTTAGTTGCCAATATTTAGCAAGGTAATCAAATGAAAGCTACACGGCTAAACATTCTAAATATATTTCTTATTAATAATGTCTTGATAGGTTTCAAGATCTCCTTCTGAATTGGAAGTTGTTCTTGGGATTATAAAAAGCTTTACTAAGGCTCTGTTAGGTCGGGATGGTATGGCATCTGCCACCAAACAGCTACATCTTCTTGAGGTATGGCCAGATAGCTTCATTTCAATTTATATTAGTTAGCTACCACAAGCATTGAATTTTTTATTTTGCATCCAAGAATTTTTCTGTGAGGGTGGGTATGGCATATAATGGGAATAATTTGCCCATATCAACGTTTTTGTTTCTTGTCTGATCTGAATGTGCTGCCATGCTATCTGTCTTTTCTCTTCATGATCAAGCTTGACTGAAAACAGGAGCAGTAAGACACATTTTGATCATTCTCTTTTACTCCCTCGTTGTGGCATGCTAGTTCCCTCAAACAATGCATCCGACTGATAGGAATCTCATTTTTTTACTTGGTTTAGAGCATGCGAAAGGAGTATGCACAAGCAAGGTCCTTGGCAATTGCTCAAGCTCAAGTTCTGCGTGCTCATGATGAAATAAAGATGGCAACCTCACGATTACGTTTACGAGAGAATGAGGATGATAATTCTATTGATGCCTTAGGTCCAGGAGAACTGGATGCAGCTAGCGCTGAAAATTCTAGTGACAAGTTTCTGGCATTGACCTCATTATCACGTATAAAAGGACAACTTCGCTATCTGAAGGTACCCATACAAAGCCCAACTGATGTTATCCATTCTGCGTGGTTTAATTTTTCTGTAGTATCATATATGTTCAATTATCAGTTGCTTAAAATCACTAAAAATGTGTTTGGGGAGCCAGTTTGGGCTAAATGATAACTGAATGGAAATTCTAGTACACATGGCATCAATGCCACCAAATTTTGATATGGAAACAGTTTGATATGCATTGTGTCCCGTCTGCATCATGTTTCTTTTTTCTGCTGCTTGTCCTTACTCTTGTTAATGTTTTCCAGGGCTTGGTACAATCTAAACAAAAATTGCAACTAGAGAGTCCAAGTTATTCATCTGTAAATGAAGTCACAATGGTCTCTTCCTCTTCTACTACAGGAACAGAGAAGGGTTCTGCAGTTAAAGCTGATGAAGAAGCATGCCCAGTTTGTCAAGAAAAGCTCAAGAATCAAAAGATGGTTTTTCAATGCGGGCATGTTACTTGCTGTAAATGTGAGTTCCTTGTTGCCCATGCCCCCCTGTGATTGTTCTGCATCAGATACAAAAACCATGTGATAGAAGAACAGAATGACTCTGTGTTTTTCGTAGTTGCAGTACCTGACAATCAATTGGAACCAAACCAAACTATGCCTTGTGCCCCGCTCAAATGGGGTTGCCTACATGAATCTTTTTTCGCCCTACTACTTTGTCAAGGGCTATATGCTCAATTAAATTAAATAAATTCATATCATATTAATACCACCGCATCCAATGTTAGTTTAGGTCTTCTCCACTCCCTAACATTTTCATTTGTGGTTATTTATCAAAAAAAAAAAACCCCTTTTCCTTTATGATGATCATATCACCCCATAAATGAAAATGGTACATATCATTATTTTAAAGCTTATATTGTTCGAGCCCAAGATAAAATATTTTCTAATTATACTGGATGGTTCTGTCTTGATTAGAACTGTTCTGAACAAATTGACCAAGTGTCATGGCAACATAGATTTTATAGTGGTAATAGAACTTTTGCCTAGGGAAACTGTTTGAAGGCCTTCAATTCCTTTCAAAACCAATGTGAAAGATGGAATATCCGCTGCATACCAATGACATATAGGGGCTTATTTGATTAATCCTGATAATAACATTTCAATGTCTGGTGAAATTCTGCCTTAAGGACCTGTTTAAATCTACCATCCTCTGTTGTGCATTAACAATTATTTCTTGCAGGTTTGCTTGCAATGACTGAGCAAAGACTTGATCATTATGGAAAGTTTCATGGTAAATGGGTGATGTGCCCAACATGCCGACAACATACTGATTTTGGAAATATTGCTTTTGCCGATGATAGTCAAAATAAATCAGATAGTTCTTTCAAGAGATGTGAGAACTCTGAAGCTTCTATTACTGTTCATGGTTCTTATGGAACAAAGGTATCCTTCCTATCCAATTCTTTACCATAAAGATAATATGCATTGCAAAACAGCACTTGGTGTTCTATGCAACTACATACTTCAGCCTTTTTTATTTGTTTTTATGGCTACTTGTGTGTGTCAGTGCACAATTCTCATTTTGTCTCCATGTCTTTTTTTCTGTTCCGTTGGGTTCAATGTGACCCTGGATTTCAGCGGTCTAAGTCATAATGCTTTTATTTGTGTGGTGAATAAATTTTGTGCCATTACTAGAAGAGAAATCACATCATTCATGCATGAATGTATAATCTAGATGTGTCTGCTTCAGTGCCTGTAGTGAATGGATTAAATTCTCAGTCCAGTTCTTTGCATTAAGTTATTTGCCATTTTTTTTTTTGTGTACATTTAGAAATTACAATTTTTGACTTAATTATTTTTCACATGTTGTGGATGGGGGTATTATTGTAAGATTGAAGCAATCACAAGGAGAATCCTCTGGATCAGTTCTACAGATCCAAAAGCCAAACTTCTTGTTTTCTCCAGTTGGAATGACGTCCTTGATGTGCTGGAACATGCCTTCACTGCTAACGGTATAAGTTATATCAAGATGAAAGGAGGCAGGTAAGTGTCAGTGAAATGGTTTTTGTGGTACATTAATTCATGCTGATTTTATTCGTAGTTGCTTAAATTATCTTTATGACCGTTTAGGGGTTTTTAAAGAATAATTTTACATAAAATACAACAGATGTTGAACATATTATTCTCTTATTATCTTATTCTGATTAACCAGAACATCTAATGAATCATAAATTAATTTAAAAAACTAGGTATATGAATAAAATCCTAGGATCATCTCCTGTCATGCTTGTCTATTAAAGATATTTTGAAAAGAAAAATCAGTGAGTATTTAGGGTATCTCATTCTTCTCAATAGGATGCTCGATTTCTTTTTGTTCACCTATGGTTCCTCCTGTTAAATTGGAAAATCATATTGATTTTGCACTTGATTAAGACCTTCACTTGCTTCAGTACCATAGGATAATTAATGGGGCTCAAGGTACCTGTAAAGTTGGTCCATTTACTCTTATTATTGTAACTGACTGGTTAACGTTGTTGAATTGATGGAATGTTGGGATTTCAAAGAAACCTCTTATGTGCCAAATAAATAGAACCATAAGCTTGGAATAATGAATACAGGTCAAAGGAAACGTCTATGAATTTTGAAAATGACTGTGAATCTCTGTGATTTATAGCCTGATAAAGGCCATTGGATGGGCATCTGCAGGCCTAGAAAAAACAGGGCCTAGGATTGAAGTTTGGTAGAGCCCCTACCCAAAAATGCTAATGGATCATTTATGTAAAACCCTAGATGGAAATTTTCAGTTAAAAAAATAACGCCCAATTAGTACACATTAATGTGTGTTTGGAAGGGAAAAGATTGGGTACACGCCTAACCTTTCGCATAGTGCACAAAGTGGTTCAAATCTTGCGGTAACCACTTTGTGCACTATGCGAAAGGTTAGGTGTGTACCCAATCTTTTCCCTCCCAAATTATTAGGCCAAGATGGAAATTTTCAATTGAAAAGGAAAAATAAAAATGAAGGAATGGAGAGAAATTAGTATTACAAATATCTCTACACACGTAATTACATTTATACGTCATTCAATGATTGTCTAAAACATCCAAAATGTATGTGAAATTGAAGAAGATAATGTTAAATGTTAAGTATCCTTTTTGACATTATTGCTTTGAGGTGCCACTAGTGTTGCAGCTTGCTCATGTAGTCATAGAGACAGTGAGAGAAAGTTTAGGTTTTGATGAGCAGATACTTTTAAGGAGATAAATAAAGGACTAAGAAAATTTCTGGTATCCTTTAAGAACTTACATGGAAACAATGAGTGCAGCGATAGAAGTAATATATAATCTAAAATATCCTAGTCCATTTTGGCATCAATCAAGTAAAATAAAAGACCGATACAAATGCGTTGCCCTTTTAGTTCAACAGGTTATGCTGGGATACCATTTCAGTGACATTTATGTAGTTCTCTATTTCATATTTTCTGTATAGCATTGATGAAAGCCTGAAGTTGGTGCACATGCATTAGATTGTACTCGTATTTGTCTCCACTTGCCGAAATTGGTCTAATCAGCCGACTTGAATAATCTATTAGATGTTGACATTATGGATTGAAAATTCTTTGCTTTATTGGTACTCAGGACTATTGGCTGATTACTGGACTTCAACTTCTGAAAATCATGTTGCTAAAACCTATGGTGTTGAACCTACAGGAAAGCCCATGTCGCCATCAGCCACTTTAAAGGACAGGGAAGCAGTGCAAAGAGAAGAGGGGAGAAGCATGACCAGAAGACAGAAACCAAATTTGTTCAAGTGTTACTGCTTTTAATTCAACATGGAGCCAATGGGCTCAATCTTTTGGAAGCTCAGCATGTTATTCTTGTAGAGCCACTACTCAACCCAGCAGCAGAAGCACAAGCCATTGGCCGGGTGCATCGAATTGGTCAGGAGAATAAAACACTTGTTCACCGTTTCATAGTACGTAAATCTTTTGTTGCAGCATAATTAGACAATGTTGTTAGTCAAGATGCATATAGAATAGGATTACCATCTTAATAATGTGTCTACTGACTAGTAGATCAACTAAATTTTGGCTTATCCATTAATCAAGGGAGCATTTGGAGGCCCCATGGAATCTGAATGGTCCCTTTCAATTTGAAGTATCCACAATAGGAACTCACCAAATTGAAAGGGCTAGTAGAGAAAATGGGGAACTCCACTACATTTCATGATATGTATGATGAGTTTGAGTTCGAGTTTCTGAAAGGACAAATATTTCTAATACTTTTGGCATGATTTGGTATTATGATAACAAAAATGCTGGGAATTGGGAAAAGTTACCCCAAAATCTACCCCGAAACAAGTTGTAAAGTTAGTGGGATGTGGGCCACACCTAGAATGATTGTAATCTATAGATATGTTTTTCTGGGCATGTAACATTGTTGTTATGATAATGTTTGTAACTTTGAATGCTACATACAACCCGCCCATTCAATTTTCATGCCACATCCATGCAAGTTGACTAGATCCTCTTTATCTTTTTATTTCATTCATCATTGCCCGTGGCTGATGGTTAGGTTGCATAAATTTGTTCAACAAACCCAGAATATAAATTTCTGGCATTATGTATTGTTCAGTACCATAGGATAATTAATGGGGTCATTTCCTTTCTTCCATGTCCCCCAGTTCCAAAATAAGCTCTATGGTTTCTCATCATCTTTATATTAGTTTTTGATAAAGATATTCATCATTAGGGATTCTCTGATTTGACGTGACCCATCAGACTCTTTGTTCTCTCTTGATAAAATTTTAGCTGGATTGGATATATATATATATATAGATAGATAGATTGATAGATAAACTTCTAAGATTGATAGTTTACCTTTCCTCTGTATTTGGATGATAGGTGAAAAACACAGTTGAAGAAAGCATATACAAACTGAATAGAAGCAGGAGCACAAGTTCATTCATCAGTGGAAACACCAAGAATCAGGATCAGCCTGTTTTGACGCTTAAAGATGTCGAGTCCCTATTCACGGCCACACCCTCAACCATACCAGAAAGTGATGAAAAGTCAAGTGGAAACTTAATGCATTTGCCAGCTTCTGTGGCAGCTGTTATGGCCGCTGAGAGGAGACTAATGGAGCGCACTGAAAATCCAAGTTGATTGTAGTACATTTGCAACCTCCCGATATCTCTGCTGCTATTGTTGTCAGGAAGGCATTGAAGGAATAGAAACTATGCAAATGTGGGTATGGTTTCCTTTTTCTTGAAGATGAGCTTGGTGCAAATGTGCTAGATCATTGGAATAATTGTCAGAAGCGGAGCAAAATGAAGCAATCTTTTGAATAGGCGGTGCATAAACATAGAAGCACAATTGGGAATAGTGTTCCTCTGCTTGGCTGATACATTTTTAGGGTTCCTGACAAACAAATTTGTTGTGTACATGTGGATCTGCCAACCTTGTTCATATCTATGGTTATAGTAGGGGCACTAATGACAAGCTAGATCTAATGTACTCAACTGTTTTATTAGTTAAGTTCATTGATTATTATTATCTCTTTCTCTCTTTGCTTGACGTTTCTTTAGATCAATGGTGTGATCTTTCCCAGTCTTTTTTTTCCATTTTTTTTTTTTAAACTTAGTTTTTCTATTTGAGCATTTGAGGTTTCTTGCCATCCTCGTGTCGACCACCTGAATTTTGGAGAGAATATTTTTGGTATTTCACTATTTTGCCAGGTTTCCAAAATACTATGTATTTATAGTTGAAGTATCGCATCTTTCTGTATTGTATTGTAACTATTTTTCAGATCATTGTGAAATTGCACTGACCGTATACGTAACCCTATTATGAGATAAATCACGAAAATCTATATTCTTGTGTATTTAATTTAAAATTTTATTATTGTGCATTTAATTTAGATTTTTATTCTATTCTTATTTATATTTTGTATCTCACCGATTTTGATCAGTTATATCAATTTCTAGTATAACTTTTTCCAAGCCTAAGGGTCTCATTTTTCCATTGCTCTTATTTACTTCCTTTCAACTGTCTTTTGTACAACATATTCTCACCAAAAGGAGAAAAAGCTTTCAGTCTAAAAGTCCAAATTTAAAATTTCTTTATTTTAAAGGTCCAGACACAAAAATATTGAGTGATTCTACTTGTACCATTACTTTATCTCTTTACACCCTCTATATAAGATGTTTTTTTCTTTTTCTTTTCTTTTTTTTCAATTTTATCCATGTGTGAAATTACCTTTAAGAACAAAATACTAAAATTAAATATATTTTATTATCTCCTTACCCCCCCTTAGTTTTCAATCCCTACTCTTCTTCCTTTCTCAATTTTTCTTCTCTTTTACACTTCTCTTTTCAAAAAGTGTGGATCATAGTGTTTTGATCATAAAATAAAATAATAGATGAAGAAACGGTGATGAAGAATCATAAAAAAAGTGAAATGGTGAGCGTTTTATTTGTTTGGTAAGTTTTTGTTTTGTTTTTTTAGACTGTTCTTTGGCTTTTGTTCGGTGTTTTAAAATCAAACAAAATAAAATAGTTCGGCATTACATTGCTGAACAAAAAAATATATGCCTGGTAACTAACTACAAAATAAAAGATACATTTCTGATAACCCACATTTCTAATAACCCAAGGTCGAATTTTTTTAATTTGTTCGGCTATTCATTATCATGTATTTCCAGTTTTATTTTTTTTATATTTTTTATTTTTTTGCTTGAAAGGATTATATTTCTACTCATTGCAACAATGCAAGAACTACATTATTAGTAGACTCTAGTCATGAATTCATTACAGACGAGATTTGTTAAGTTTTTTATGAATACGATTTTTTTACGAACGACAACATATTGCTGGGAAAAAAAAGTTTGTTTAGTAACATGTCACTGGATTAATTCAAATTCATTAGTATTGCATTACTGAATAGGCCTGACACAAATTTAAAAATCATTGTTTAGAAGAAAGTGACTCTGTAAGTGTATAGCAACAAAACACTGGAGAAATTTATTTTTTCCAACAACATTTTCTCTTTCCCCTTGTGCTATTTCTCTTATTTTCTCTCCAAAAACCATTGGTGTAAAGAAATGTAAGGGTTTTGAAGAGTCTTATTTTAAGGTTAGTTTGGTAATATAATAGGTGTAATGAGAATCCTATTTTTTTTTTTTTTTTATAGTATAATGAGATAGAGGGTGTAAAGGGTGATTCTACTTACACCACTATTTAACCTCTTTACACCATCCATCTCATTACACCACTCAAAAAAATGTAATTCTCATTACACCCCCAATATATTACCAAAACTAACCCCAAATGAACTATTTCATCTCTTTACACCACTAATTTTGGTAATACGGTGCTAAACAATTTACATTACTATGGTGTTATGCTATCGGAAAAAATAGATCTTTCCAGCATTTTGTTGCTATACATTTACAGTTTCACTTTCTTCCCAACAATGATTTTTTAATTTATGGAAGGCCTATTCAGTAATACAATGCTAATTAATTTTAATTACTCCAGTGTCATGTTACCGAACAATATTTTTTTCCCCAACATTATGTTGCCGTCCAATTAGATGATAACAAGAAATTAATTTGGACCACTTGTGAAGTAAACAATTTACATTACTATGGTGTTATGCTACCGGAAAAAATAGATCTTTCCAGCATTTTGTTGCTATACATTTACAGTTTCACTTTATTCCCAACAATGATTTTTTAATTTATGGAAGGCCTATTCAGTAATACAATGCTAATTAATTTTAATTACTCCAGTGTCATGTTACCGAACAATATTTTTTTTCTCAACATTATGTTGCCGTCCAATTAGATGATAACAAGAAATTAATTTGGACCACTTGTGAAGTGAATGTTCAGTGATACATTGTTATACAAATGAGATTACTCTAGGGTCATGTTGCCAAACTACAATAGAGTTGTCTAGGCCCCCATCACTGTACATTGAAAGATTTATTTTTTCCTTGAAGCATTCATAAAAAAAAATCATAAATCAAACACGTATCCATAAAATCATATATAAAAAGTATCCATAAAATTATTCATAAAAACATCAAGTGTACGAATATCCATAAAGTATTCATAAAATCTGTCATTGTTTGCATCCATCAATCTAACATGTTATCACAATTCATCTTGGTAATTTGTAGGTAATTTTTCCCTCCTTAATAGACATCCACATTTTTTAGAACTTGTTAACCTCAATCATTTCCCCTTGATCTTCCTGTTGTCTCTATAGTAACCACTTCTTTTACAAGCAAGTATAAGTCTTGGTTTTCTGCTATTGCCTCCTGCATCTAATGTCTTTATAACAATGACAAATCTAATCTTCTTCCCAACATCAGAAGCCTATTTAATTAATGCTTCACGACTACTAAAAATTTAAAGATAATAAATATATTTATACGTCAAATTATTAATAAAACTCAATACAAATTAAAAATTATATTCATAAAAAAAACTTAACAAATTTCGTCTATAATGAATTCATGACTAGAGTTCACTAATATTGCAATACTTGCGTTGTTGCAATGAGTATAAGTATAATCCTTCCAGGCAAAAAAATATAAAATATAAAACTGAAAATACATGGTAATGAGAAGCCAAACAAATTAAAAAAATTCGGTTTGAGGTTACCGGAAATGTATCTTTTATTCGGTAGTTGGTTATCAGATTTATATTTTTTGTTCGACAATGTGATGTTAGATTATTTTATTTTGTTTAATTTTGAATCACCGAACAAAATTCGAACACCAGTCCAGAAAAACGAAGCAAAAACCTACCAAATAAATTAAAAAACTCATAATTTCACTTTTTTTTATGGTTGTTCACTACCATTTCTTCATCTATTGTTTTTTTTAATGATCAAAATATTATGATTTTTACTTTTTAAAAAGAGATGCGTAAGAGAAAAGAAAAATTAAGAAAAGAAAAAAAAAGAAAAAAAAGAGTACGGATTGAAGACTAAGGGGTGTAAGGAGATAACAAAATATATTTAATTTTAATGTTTTAACCTTAAAGATAAATTAACGCAAGATAAAATTGATTAAAAAAAAAAAACTCATATAAAAAGTATAAAAAAATAAAATATTGTTGTAAGTAAAATCACCAAATATAAATGGTTAAAGTAACGTTACAAGTAGAATCACTCAAAATATTTTATTTAGCTATAAGGAAATGCTCTGACAAAATGAGAAAATTACGCCCATTCATCTTTCTCGTCCATTGAATCACACTTATAAAAGACGCATTGCACTGAGAGACTCATAAGACAAACCCTTCTCTCTCTTTCTCTCTACAAAACCATAGCTGCTCTCCTTCCAAATCTGGACAGGGTGATTTCGGTTCCTCCACAAGACCTCACCGCCAGTCAAGGAGTCTCAACCGGTTCTCTAGGTTACAAATCCACACCGTTCTCTCTTTCTTCAACACAACGACGATGACCTCCACAGCCGGTCCACGGCAGCTCACTGTCGAACTCACCGAGCGATGACCTCCTTGCCGCCGTCGAGCCGCCACGACTTCTCAATGCTTTCGGGCGACATACTGACCAAAATCGCGGCGTCGCTTGTCTGCAAGACGTGGAGGAACGGTCTTCGGTCGCTGAGGGAAGCGATGGTGTTTTTACGGTGGGTAAAGCAGTTCAAGCACTACCCGGCGGCGTGAAACCGAACCTCCAGAAGGCTCTGGACTAGGAATGGCAACAGACCAAGGCGGGTGTGACGACCCGTCACGTATGATATTTTACATTTAATTGGTGAATTGGATTTTAATTAATTATTATTCTAATTTAATTACGAAATTGATGAATAATATTGGGTCTGATTTGTATATAATTTTGTAAAAGAGTTATTTTGGAATTAAAAATTAAAAGTGTTAGTGGCTTAAGAATGTGAAATTGACGGATTGAATTATTTTAATTTTGAATATCGGATTATATGGAAGTTTAATTAAATATTCGATTTAGTTTAATAAAATCGAGTTGTTATTAATTGGGTCCGAATTAGAGTTGCTTAAGTTATGAAGATTGAGAATTATGATGATTATGAATTAAATTCATTTATAAGGTATCCAATTTGAATATGTAATTTATTAACGAAATTTTAAGTCTGATCAGAAATTGAAGGCTTAAATGATTTGAGAAAACAAAATTGATAATGGTATTGAGTTTAATTTAATATTTGGAGCCTTCTGAGAATTTGATTAAAAATTTGATTCAGATTAATAAATTGTGATTGATAGGTCAATTGAAGTTAAATTGACTAATCGAGTTATGAGGAATTTGTGAGTAGTTATGATTAATTCTAAATGAATGGATTTAGACATGATTAACTAATTAGAAGTCATGTAGCGATTCGTTTAATTGCGGATTTTATTTTGAAATCAATTTAATATGTAGAACCTTATAAGAGTTTAATTAAAAATCTGATTTATATTCGTAAAATTAGATATAATCAAATTAAGTCTTAATTGAGAATTAATTATATTAAATTGAAATTAGTTAAATTATTTCTGATAAGAGAT